ACCCTGTCTGGCTATCACCTCATATAATGCTATCCTCATCCCTGCCCCGAACACAGAAGCTCTGCTCCAAATATTCACCTCGAGGAGGAACGTGCCTCCAACCGTGGCACTCTAAGTCAAACCACTACCTGCACAGATGTCCGCGCTGAGCTGAATGCTGCTGGAGGATGTCTCGCACCTTGTCAGGCTGTCTCCATTACAAATTCATCTCTTCACTCATTCATTATTTTAATGTTTGAATTTTGAGGCTGAAAGTGGACTGCTGTGCTATGAAAGGCCTGTTCTTGTCAGATTAGCCTATGTGACCACAAACTGCACAAATAACACCGAATTAATGGCATTTCCCTTTCTGCTCGAAAAATCTGATTTTCCAACCACAGTCAAAAGCGAGATTGTGCCTCAATGTATACAACTTTTTCTAAATAAGATCGAAGATCAATTTATGTTTAATTATTCTGGACATTTTCAAATGTGAACTGAACTGGGAAACTCATTACATCCTATCTGTTAGAATGATTTCTACCTTCCTACCAGCTTAATGTAGAAATAATGTCAATCCGTGATTTCCCGTCTTTAACCTTTATCTAAAGATGAAATTGTTATGGATCTTGAATTTTTATTACCAAAAAAAAAGGATAATATAAGGCAATTTGATTTGAAACAAAGTTTCATTACCAGCATGCTACCTTTTAAAGTCTAATAAATGTTCTATAGCATGTTAATTAGAACATAATGAAAATACTAGCGGCAAATCTGTTTTGTCTTGTATAGTTTTGTCTTGTTTTCATAAATGACACTAGCATACCGATATGTGTTCTATTTTTTTTTGTGTATTTCCAATTTTTCATCCATTCCATTTTTATTTTTTTTTAAATATGAAAATGGCTTTTCTGTAAACCGGGTGTATCATTAACATAAATTGTAAAATAATGCTGACAAAACTTGCGAAAGGTAATTTATATGGGGTAACCGGGCGATACACTAAAGTGAGAATTCAAAGTGAACGTCAAATTTAATGCCAACGTTGCCAAACCGAAAGCATAACTGACTTAGAGAACTCATCCAGTTCGGCTATTTTGATCTTAAATTTGAAATTCACTTAAGATGCAAAAATGAATAACACTATGTATGTGAAAATGAAAAACGACCAATGCAACCTGATTCTGTTGGGGATTTTTTTATTATTAATATATAATTTTTTTTGTAAGCTATTCAAACAAGAATAATCTTGGTAAGGATAGCTTATGCTGGAAGGATCCTTAGCCCTGCAGTTGCAAACATTGCAGTTTTAGAGAAACTGCAATGTTTACATTATTATTATTATTGCCATTTATATAGCGCCAACAGATTCCGTAGCGCTTTACAATATTAGCATTGGATGGTTAAGCCTGCCTCTAGTGGCTATCTACCAGACAACCACTAGAGGCGCTTCCTGCAGTTTCACAGAGTTTGACTCTGTGAATCGACACTGGTTTGCATGAGGACATCTAGTTTGTTGGAAAACCCAATTGAAGTGCAATAAGTCAATGCTTTCCTATGTGGAATGCCTAATGCGTGCCATGACATTGGTGGAGGAGCCCGGTCCAGCAACAAGTTACGTTGGCGCAGGAATCAGGTAAGTGAAAATAGGGTTTTCAACCCTTTCTTTGCAGCCAGTGGGGGGGGGGGGAGGGGGTTACGGGAGGGAGAAGGGTAGAAGAGGGCACTATAGTGTTTTAATAATATTGTTTTGTATTCCTAACACTATATTGTTCCTTTAACCCCTTAAGGACACATGACATGTGTGACATGTCATGATTCCCTTTTATTCCAGAAGTTTGGTCCTTAAGGGGTTAAGAAAGTGACTCACAGACACACACATTTACACATACACATATTCCTTGAGAAACACACAGCTAGACAGAAACACAGATATATAGACATATAATAAACATATATACACACACCTTCTCACCCACTCACTGTGTTTTAGCCAGGAGGATTAGTACATCACATCCACTCAGTGCAGTCACTTTAGTGCAAAGGTAGCCATCAGTGAAACCAACGAAAGGCGCATTGGCCGAGCATGTTTGTGTTGATTGGTGATTCTTAATCCCACCCATGGTGTCAAAAAAAAAAAAAAAAAGATAATATATGGGGGGAAAGACCACTGATAATAGGAGAAGGTCACAAAATGTTGACTTTATTCACAGATCAAGCGAGAAGTGACCAATAGAGGGGGGAAATGAGGAGCACTTAAGAAAATCTATATTTAAAGGGACACTATAATCACCAGAACAACTACAGCTTATTGAATTTGTTCTGGTGAGCAGAATCATTACCTTCAGGCTTTTTGCTGTAAACACTCTTTTCAGAGAAAATGCAGTGTTTACATTACAGCCTAGTACAGATGGCTGTTAGAGATCCTCCCTGTGTCATGGCTGCTTAAAATGCATCCAAACATTCAGTATCTCCTCCCTCTGCGTGCAGACACTGAACTTTCCTCATAGAGATTCATTGATTCAATTCATCTCTATGAAGAGATGCTGATTGGCCAGGGCTGTGTTTGAATCATGCTGGCTCTGCCCCTGATCTGCCTCTTTGTCAGTCTCAGCCAATCCTATGGGGAAGCATTGTGATTGGATCATGCTACTACTTCTGATGATGTCAGCAGACTGCTTGTTTTTCTGAGACAAACATCATGCAGATCTACAGCTTCAGGCTTGAATAGAGTAAGATTTTGCTATATTTATGGAGGCATTGGAGGGGGGGGGGCAGATGGTGGTTTTAACACTATAGGGTCAGGAATACATGTTTGTATTCCTGACCCTATAGTGATCCTTAAATAAATCAGTTTATCGTTACAGAAATTCTGCCTAGCCGAACCCACATCTAGCCAATAATAGTCCCACAAATTGTTTTATTTTCATGTTCAGCTGAAACTAATTTTCTTGCCTTACACAACTCGAATAAATACAGGTTTATCTAATACTCTGAATTAATTGAAAACTTTGGTGTCATAATGTGCTTTATTAAACATGCCAATCACTGTGTGATTTTGGGACTTGTTTATTTCATGTGGTAGTGGCCATCCTTGGGCTGAAGCCATCTAACTGTGCCACTGAGCTTAACAACCTGTCATACATCCCCTTTTCTTAAATCTGTTTATTAAGATCCACTACCTGTAGAATGTAAGCTTGTTTGAGCAGGGCCCTCAATACACTCTGTTCCTGTGCATCCAGCTCATCTTGTTGCAATTCCATGGTTGTTAATCCCCAGCCATGTTACTTTTAGCAGACGACACAAGTGGGGTAAGTTGAGCATTTTATATGAGATGCTGCTTCCTGTTAGAGCTGGGGTGTAATAATATGGCACATGCCCCCATTGCAGTGGGAATTATCTGGTAAGCTGAGCAGGATCTTGTACTTTGTGCAGACAGACCGGTAGTACTGACTCATTACAGAGGGAGCAGTAGCATTGCATTTCATCACCCATGTGCCTTTCCATGCTCTCATTTCAATTCCTGAAGGAGCTTGGATGGAGGGTGTTAACATGAGTGACCTTGGGTTTTGTACATTGTGTTACAAGGACGAGAACCAGGGTCGCTAATGCCAATTCCTTCTCTCACTGCATGACTAAATAGTCTCCCATCATGATTGAACTGCCAAGAGGACATTTGGGAACAATGTGGGCATTTGCATGTGGCTCATGCAGCCACCGCATCGCATCTGTCTTTCACATATTTTTTTTGTGCTACACGATCTCTAAATCACATCTTCTAACATTTCAAATGGACTAAGAGGGACTAAATGCACTTTCATTTTAGGGGTGGGGCTGTTCTGAGAAATCTTAGGTGACTTACTAATATCAATTTATGCAAATAATGTAATTTATGCAAATAATGTAATTTAAATCAAGAACAATGTATCTTCTCACACTAATATGGAGCTCCTAGAAGAGAGGGAGATTAGGATATAAAAAGAGGGACAGATGGATTTGTTCCCAAATTAGGGACTGTCCCTCCTAAATGGGGACACTTGGGGGGAGGGGTGCTAAATTGTCCAGAATTATTGCACAACCTTTAATCAAGCAGTCCCACTCCAAGGGTGTTTTCTTCTCATAGAGGGCTGGAAATAAGCCCACTGGCCCCAAATATTTTAGACCCATTCTGCTGAAAAATGCATGTGTACACCCATTATCAAAGTCCTACCATTCTTACTGGACACACGGAATCCCATGTATACAAAAGCACCCCTTGAAAGGGTGATCGGCGAGACCTGTGGAAATGTGACACACATAAAGTAATTTTTTTTCACAGTGTTACTTATGTGCGTTGTTCATTACCTTCCATGTAGTTTAACCCCTTCATGGTTTGGTTTATGCAAATCTGGTCATATCATGATAGTTGTGGTAAATAAACTGTCTTGCAAAGAGTTAAATCTGATTTCATAAAACTTTAAATTCTTGGATGCAACGTAATTTTTTTTTCTTGAACTAATTTGTATGCCTGCAAAGTAATGTTATGAAGCATGTAAATGTAGCGGGAAAGTACAGATTGGACAGCTCTCTCTTAAAGTAATAATTAATTACATTTTAACTTTCAGTAACAGAATGGAAAAATCTGTACCATTTGCTCCTCAACACAAACTGAACTTTGAATTTTCTCCAATGATTATAGGAGCCCTTTAAATATTTATGTGCTGCATGTACTTTAAATCACCACAAGAGGGGGCAAGATAATACTGTACCTGGGACTATGGAGCTTTTATGGAAAGTTCCAAATCCTGTCTGTTTTAAGTACTCTTACATTTATATTTTCTTTCTTTCTTTCAAAATATTTGTAAAATTCCTCCCAATTTATAACAGAACCCCCCATGTACAGGTTTTATGGTGTTTTCAAAAGTTACAGAGTCAAATATAAGGCTTGCTTTTCAGTTTTTTCACATTGAAATTTGCCAGACAGGTTACGTTGCCTTTGAGAGCGTATGGTAGCCCAGGAATGAGAATTACCCCCATGATGGCATACCATTTGCAAAAGTAGACAACCCAAGGTATTGCAAATGGGATATGTTGAGTCTTTTTTAGTAGCCACTTTGTCACAAACACTGGCCAAAATTAGCGTTCATATTTGTTTGTGTGTGAAAATTGAAAAAAAACAAAACAAATTTTAACGCTAATTTTGGCCAGTGTTTGTGATGAAGTGGCTACTAAAGAAGACTGGACATACCCAATTTGTAATACCCTGGGTTGTCTATGTTTGCAAATGGTATGCCATCATGTTGGTAATTCTCATTCCTGGGCTACCATTTGGTCTCAAAGGCAACATAACCAGTCTGACAAATTTCAATGTGTATAAACTGAAAAATTTGTAACGTGCTATTTTTGACCCTATAACTTTCAAAATCACCATAAAACCTGTACATTTGGGGTACTGTTTATACTCGTCAGACATCACTGAATACAAATATGTGTACTTTCTTGCAGTAACAGCTAACAGTATTATGCTATTCACAGTTAGAATGCCAGACAAAACAAAAAAAATTGAAATTTCTTAATTTCTCAAATTTCTTTATATTCTTTTCATATTAAATCATGTTTCATATATACATATTTGATATGACATAAAAGCCCTGTTTCTCCTGAATAAAATTATATATAATAGGTGTGGGTGCATTTATTATGAAAGGGGTGAATTCTGGTTGAACAGATATATCTCACAAAATTCAAAGTTTTGTTTACTTTTTGTTTTAATCACAACTTGTACAACGGCCTCAGTCCTTAAGGGGTTAATGAAGCCATTTGGGTGTATAGATCATGCCCCTGCAGTCTCACTGCTCAATTATCTGCCATTTAGAAGTTAAATCACTTTGTTTATACAGCCCTAGTCACACCTCCCTGCATGTGACTTACACAGCTTTCCTCAACACTTCCTTTAAAGAGTCATCTAATGTGTAAACGTCCTTTATTTCAAGTTCTGTTTAATGTAGAATTGCTGATCACAAGCACTGTTAGCTTGCATGTGCTTTCTGTATGTGATTAAAGTTCCATTTATAAAGTTCCAATTTTTTTTTCCATTCACTCTGTCTCAGTCACAGGACAGGGGAGGTGTGGCTTTGACTGCATAAACAGAAACAAAAGTGATTTAACTCCTAAAAGACAGCGAATTGAGCAAGTGAGACTTCAGAGGCATGATCTTTACACCATGACTGCTTCATTAAGCTAAAGTTGTTTTGGTGACTATAGTACGCCTTTAACAGAGGTTGCTGGACTCCTCCCTCCCCCCCACAGACATTAACCCATTAATTACCAACATACAATGCATGCCATACAATTTGTGCAACATCTTGTCACGGAAGCGGCTTTGCAATTTAAGGGAAGCACCTCTATTTTTTTATTATTTAACTTGCAGTGTTTAATAGTTATGAGTGAAGTTTTCATCGGGCAGGTGACTTGGCCATTTAATTTTGTTAATTTTTAAAACTTAATTTTGCTAAAGGTAAAAATAAACTATGAAGTTGGGCAAAAGGACACCTGGAGTTTGTCAACAAAATATCTATTTTATTGTCCTGACAAGCTCAGTCAGTCACATGAACTTGCTGCACAGTGAAAGAAACCCATGTAAAAGAATTAATTGAGGATGACCGATCAGATAAGTATTGTAAACAAGAAAACAGAAAAAAATAGTTGTAATTTAGTATGAAATAGAACATTAATAGTTTTCAGAACCTTCAGAACATAAGGATCCCCCCCCAAAAAAAAATTACTTCTCCTTTTCCACTTTTCCAAGTACAGCCAAGATATATTTGTACAGGGTTTTCCCCAAAACTACAAATAGAGGAGAATTTGACAAGGGAATTGCACATTTTTGGACCCAAAAGTCAACCAGGGAACAAAGTCAAACAGGACCCGGAAATCTTGAATGTCCCGCTGAAATCACGATGGTGAGGAGGCCTGCTACCAGACTTGCTTGGAGTGAATCCAGTAAACTTCAGAGTTTAATAAATATGCAAACCTTATACAGTGGAACCTCGGAGCACGAACTTAATTAGTTCCAGAAGGCTGTTCGAGTTCCAATGTGTTCGGGAACCAAATCAACATTTCCCATAGGAATGAATGAAAATTTGATTAATCCATTCCAGGCATATCATGTACCAGATGTGATCATGTACATCCAATCCTTCCTTACTACTGTATCGCCAACATGCAGTCACTACAGTACTTGTGTTCACTTTTACAAAGAAATCTGCCAGCCACCTAAAAGCCTAATGTGTAACAAGGGTGTCCCAAAAGATTGCTCAATGGGCACTCACCTCCGTCATGACTCCAAAGTCTCATGTGGACAGGACTCATCCAGTCATATTTTCTAGCTGTCAAAAGCTGACCTGGCAGATAGCTCCACAGAGTCCACTGCAGAGAGCGACCGCCACAGCAAGGGCACTGCCCATCGAAGTCAAAACCCCGACATGAGCAGCTCATCCAGCATATCCATCAACCTCTCCAGAATACAGCCTGACTACTGATAGTCACGTAGAACCAGCAGGTGTCACTGCTTAAAATTATCAACAAGATTACCAAAGAGGTGAATGCCGTGTGATGTGTTCAGGTACCAAGGATCGTTCGCGTACCAAGGCATTTTTAACGCAAAATTATTTGTCTAATTCCGAACGGTTCGTGAACGGGAACGTTCGCGTTCCGAGGTTCCACTGTATTTTATACAAGATTCACAAGTGAGCTTAACAGATCGTTAAATGGATCGACACTGGATGGTACCAATGATACCTATGAGATGAGCTCATTTATTAGAAATTTAAGAAAAAAATTGCTAATCCAGACTGCTCGGTCCTTGGTGAATAACCCTGTTAAAGAATAAATTCATCAAGACACATTTTAATAAATGTTCGCTTTGTTGCTAGATAGTAGCCGATCAATTAATTTATTCACACATGTATTTGGCCAGAAGAACAAATCTAATTTCAAGTATATCATGTATACAATACAGACATTTATTGCTTCTTCCTAGTTATTTTGACTTAAATTTTGCAAATCACACAGCGTAATGAATAACATTCCAGGTTTCCTGGAGCCTGACTCACATGATCTTTGCCAACGGTTTCCAACCCCATGCACAAGGTACATCATCAGTCCTGGTTTTGTCCATTTACACATTGGAATACAGTTGGGACAGGTCATTTAACTTGGATTGTTTGTGTGTCTTAGGAATTGGTCATGGCTTTCCTTATTACTGCTACTTTGTAATACAGTGTGAAATTCATTACCCTCCTGATGTCTGATATATTCATAAAATTCTGTAGTTGGCAAAGTATTATGTTGAGGGAGCTGTGTTGATGGAATGTTTATATTTTTGTTTTCCAAGGTAGGCAGGCAATGAGTTTGATTTCCTGCACTCTGGCAAGTTTTCTAGGCAATAATAAGCCAGTGGGCCACCAATCCTGGTACTTGGGGTACTGAGACACAGTGCTGGACTTAACACAATATGGCCATATTGTGTGCACACTGTTCTTAATATGTATTTTGAATATATTTTGGTCATTACTACAGAGCCACTACTGGAAAATGCATGTTCCATGTACCTCCCCCCCCCCCCAAGTTCCTCTTTTTTCTATGACCTATACACTGTAAAGTACCACCATGGTCAGCCCAGGTAGCCATTATGATAAGCCAGACCATTTTGGGACTGCTATGGGATTGTAAATACAACTGATGCTACCTCATAAAAGGTTACTAATCCAAAAGAGGTCCAGTTAGTATACAGCAACTTGTGCAATGGTTATCTGCGTGTGTTGACCATTATAGTATAGTTCAACTATTGGAGTGTTTGTGATTGGCTACATTGTGTATAATTAGACATAATTGTCACGGCTCCCAGTGATTCTGCCGGAGTGGTTGCACATAAAGAAAGCAACCATGCCGCCAGAAACAATTCAAACTTACCTTGCTCGCGGCAGACCACTGATCGATCTCCCTCCAGTCCGGTCCCGAAGCAACGCTCTTAGGAGCTCTGACTGTTGTGGTTCGGATTTTTGTAGTAAACTTACCTTTGCCCACACCAAAGATGGCGCCATTGTGCATGCGACGTCACGTCATAGACGTGCACGCACGTTTTGGGGTCAGAGGTTGGACATTTACAGCCGAAGGAGGGGTATTTAAACCCAAATTACCTGTCAGTGCCATGTCGTGGTTTCCCTTTGATGGTTATCAGAGAGTGTGTTCCTGATCGTGTATATCTGATTTTTCACTTTGGCTTCATTTTGACTTCCCTAATTTCTGGTACCCTTGACTTTTGGCTTTTCCTTATCGCTGTTCCTCGTTCTGTGTCCCTGACCTCGGCAAGTATTTTGACTATTCTCTGGCATGTTAAGTCCGGCCATTCTAAGGTCCGGTTAGACAGTATCAGTAGTCCTAGGTGTGATACAATTTTTCGTGCTGGATCAATAGTTATCCTGACAATAATAGACAAATTGTAAGTTGAGAATTTTACGTAAATCAACTAAGAGTTGCCATAATTCTCTAATGCAGTGAAATGACCGCATCTAATGTGTTAAATTTTACAACATATTTTTCTTTGAGCCAAATGTCTAAACAAAAAGGTACCCACTTATACATATAATTTTAGGTTTGTTTTTTTTACTATTAAATTGCTTAACTGTGCCTTCTACCAAATTAAGCATTAATGTCAAAATGTTTTATTAACATGGTGGGGGGGGGGAAATGTAAAAACAAATTTAAAAAAAAAATGATATCTCTCTATATCTATCTATCTATCTATCTATCTATCTATATATATATATATATATATATATATATATATCTATATATATATATATATATATATATATATATATATATATATATATATATATATATATATATATATATATATATATATATATATATATAACATGGTTAGAATAGTGGCTATTATCTAAAACATGAAAGTTCACTTCTACAGGAAATTATATTGAGTCAAAACTGATCATTTAATAATTGCATAACGTGTGTATTTTTTGTTTTCCCACATGATTGCATTTTTACTGCTTTTTTTATACTTTGTTCTAAAGGCAAAACACAGTGTTCAACAAAAACAACATTATTGCTTCTGTATTTTATAGAGATTAAGTTACATTAGTCTGGCACTTAAAAAAGAACACATTAATTATGCCAATTTTCAGCAGGCACATCTTAAAAAAATATTAATATAAAAAAAAAAAAAATGAAAACAATTGATTGCATCTCTTCTAGTCGGGTAAGAAAACACCCGTGTCTTTCATTTTTGAGGATATATTAATGATTGTATATGACATTTACGGGTATTTCACCAAGTCAGTAACACAGCCATAACATAAGCAAACGTGATGGACATGACAATCCACACTCTCACTATTTCACAAACTAAATACTCTTTGCGTTACACTGCAGAATTCCATGAGTGAATTAAATCGGGACATAATTGCAAAGGATGACTTTTGTAGCAACATCCTATCCTTAGATTCCATGAAAAAAGACACCTGACAAGCTGGTACTCAGAATTTAGGAATTAAATGTGCCTGTCCTTAAAGAAACTAAAATAAAAACCTTGGGCCTTTGCTGTATTTTATTTATTTATTTTTAAACAAGATTATTTCTGTTATCTAGATGTATCATTATTTATATAGATAATCACCATGATAATTGATTCCATGGCATGGTGATATATATTTCAATCACGGCATGCAGTGCAAGATATCACTTTTCATACACTAAGCATTTGCTTAGAGTTACAAGTGGGTATGGCTAAAAGTGTTGCCCCTACTCCACTGTCCAACCCAAATGTCCATTATTTAGCCTACGTTATAGGGGTCAAAAGACATCTCAATATTTTAGCTCAGGGGCACCTGATTTGTACTGCAAGACCCTGGCAAGGTTGGTCCATCAGCAACATGGGCACAGTAGGTTTCAAAATGTTAATTGTTATGAGGTTAACCTTGTGTGCAATCAAGATATGTGAAATCTCAGTGCAACATTATGGTTCCTTAAATTAAAATCTCTGCCTCATGTCTTTACTATAAATGAAGCTCCAATCTCACAGAGACAATGGTGCTTCACAAGGTGGACACCAAGAAAGGATATTAAAATCTAGCAGCCAGCCTTTCTGTCCCCACCCTAATGTACAAAGATTTCAGTAGACATTCAGATTTCAGTCTATGGACCATCAGCACAGTCAGTTCGCCGTCTCCAATGGCTGATTGACAATAACTTGGATCACAAAGTCCTTCTGAATCTTGGTTTCTTGCAGTTTCGTTCGGTCTGTGAGAAGTTTCCCTGAGAAAAACCAGCGCTGCCTGCACTGTTCGATCCCCTCCAGTGAGTACAACTGCTTCTTTAGCTGGCCAATGGTGTCCCCCATGCTAGCATTGAGTTTTACGTCCTTTCCAGATGAAAGCCGGACTCTGAGCTGAAATTCCCGTCGGTTGTTGGCTACTGGATCTGGGACGTCAGTGCCATCTTCATCACTTCTCTCCATTATAATGTTGACAGGAGGAGCAAGACAGTAAACTGGTAGTTGATAGCGAGTCCCCAATTCATCATAACATTCCGTTAGAGATCCTAAAAAAACAAACAGTCATAATTCAGTTATGGTTTGAGAAGTATTAGGACAAATTAAGAATATGTATTTTCAAATGGTGTTCATAATATTATACCCTTGCTATTTCAGAAGAAAAACATTTAATATTTTCCTTTTCAGCACCTATTACAAGCCAACCAATCAGAGTGCTCTGGTGAGATTATACAGCGCGGGAAAACTGTCATTGGAATCAGAATTTGGTCATTTTAGAATGATTAGAAAATAACCCTGACAGTCTATTTAAGTACATTCTAAGAGTTGTCACAATTGATAGACTAAAACACTCGATATATAAGAAATTAGATATTTTATCCAAGTGGTGATCCCATTCCCTTACGTTTAATTTTTTTTGGTCAACTAAAAAAGGTCTTTGTGGGTTATGCCCAACATTGAGGAGGAATAAGGAGGCTTCTTTTATTTATAAAGTTCTATTAATAATGCTAGTATTCTCACACACAGTTACCCAAACAAACAAACATAAGCTTCCTCCTATGATGTTGGGAAGGGTGGGGTGTAGCTGCAGCAATTTTTGCAAAACACTGCAGTTGTGTTATGAATAGACTGGTTACAGGGAACCATAAAGTGAACAAACAAGATGTTATGGAGCTTGGAAAGTCCCTAAACAGTTCACCTGACAATGTCCATTTGTAACTGTATTACTGCTTGAAGGTATAGTTTAAAAAGACAGAATTGAAGCAATGCATATATGGTGCAACAGATACTCCGCATCTCTTCCTCATACCTCTCTAAAATAACAAATAATAGGAAACTTGCTTCCTTTTATTTTATTTTTTTTGCAGTGCTCAAAATTTCCACTTACCACTATCCGTTGGCAAATAAAAAAAATTGAGCTCTGGAGAGTTGAACTTCACTCCTTCTGAGTGTGGCATGGACCCTCCATGGTAAGTACTTTTTAAGCCATGATTTAACAGATATAGTTCATACTCCTACAGAAAAATTCTAAAAAAATTGCATAGATTGCACAATATAAGGTCCAATGCAGTTTCTGTGGTCATGGAGGTTCTAACTTGTTGATTCTCTCAGATATTATTGGGATGTTTGGAAAAAGAATATAAAAACGTAAATATCCTTTATATTTACAATGTGTCTGGTAGGGACCTTCATTATTTATTTTATTTTTGTTTTTTTATGTTGGCTACACTAAGCTTTACCTTCACATGCAGTGCATAATATATACACCAATTTGTAATACGCACTTTGGATGCTTTGTGTTATTAACTTAATTTGCTACACTTTGTATCCTTTTATTATGAGATAAAAATGGAAACGTACTTTGCTTTATATTGGACGGATGTTTTTGGCCCCAGCCCTTTTTTAATAATTAATATTTATGTAGTAATAATTATTTTTTCTATTATTGTTAAAAGTGTGAAAATGCATTGCACAAAATATCCTATGTGTACAAAATGTTTATTACTTTTTTATTTTTTTTATTCAGCTATGTTCAGAGTATACATTTTAAACTTTTTTAATTATTATTAAATGACAAAAGTTTTCTAACTGCCCTAGATTTCTTGCCCGGGCAAATGAGGCTTCGCCATCAGTAAGTACTGCATGAAAGACTTTGGCATGAGGTCAAAATGCTCCTGCTTGTTCTGTACATAAAGTTCCATTTAAACTGCCTGGCACTAAATCCTAGTGTGCCCAGACCTTCTTGGTATTTCTAAATGTACATGGAGGTGTGCCGACCCTTAGTATGGTTTGCACTTTCTGTGGTGTTTTTACTTTTGGTCAAAATACTGCATCAATTGGCGATTTAAACAGTGCATTACCATTTCCCAGTACTGGAATCTGCTCAACTTCTCAGGTTCTGATTGGCTGCTGCATTGCATTCTACTGGCAGACATTTTTTTTTCTTATTAGTACTGCATGGAAAATGTTAATGGCTGGTGGAGCTTGAAAGATGGTGGGACGCTAGACTCTATCCCTGGGATTTGAATCTGCCCATTTAACACCATGTTCTAAACCCTCGCTAACACAATGAGCGGCCATGTCCACTTCAATCAACAAGCCTCTGAATACATATATTTGGGAAGAGACAGGAAATGCACAGGCCTTCTTTTTGGGGTTCCAGGATCAGACTCCCCAAAGCAAACGGGAGACTTTAGAAAATCCATTAGAGCAAAAAAAGCATGTCTAAAGGGTCTTCCAAGACACATTTCCCCAATGGATTAGCTTCCGTTGTAGGTGGACAACCATGCTCAGAAAAACTAAGCAAAAGGAAAACCTTTAGTTATTCACAAACCGGAGACATTCAAAGATCAACTTACTACGGTTGGTTTGCATGTTTGGTTTTAACTACTCCCTGCAATTGTTTTTCAAAAACTCCTCTATGGTAACAGCCTTTTTCCCGGGGGACCATGTTGCACTCTTACTCAGATTCGACAAAGGAACGCACGATGTGTGTTGCTTATTGTGCATTTTCCCATGTGTTCCCTAAATTACCAGTCTACGAGAGGCATACTATTATTGCAGTCCAAATATAAATAGCTCTGGTGAAAAATTAAAGAAACACCGTAGACAGCCATGTAGGGTGGTCACCTATAGCCCAGTTCTATTCACCATGCTTATACAAAGCGTGTAGGAAGCCCTGTGAAATCTTAATCCTTTTGCCGATATCAGTATGTCCTAGTACAGGGCTCAAACTTTAAAGTTCTGCGAAACTAGCCAGGTCTAAAGGTTACTCACCACTGCAAGCCTTGCAGGTCCATGGCACAACTCACCAGGAGTGAATTTCTATTCACATGTCCTGAATTTTCAAAAGTGGGCTAATGTAAATTTTGAGCCATGTCCTAGGATATAAAGTGTGTAGCATTGTAGAAAGAGGGAATTGCCGATATCAGTATGTCCTAGTACAGGGCTCAAACTTTAAAGTTCTGCGAAACTAGCCAGGTCTAAAGGTTACTCACCACTGCAAGCCTTGCAGGTCCATGGCACAACTCACCAGGAGTGAATTTCTATTCACATGTCCTGAATTTTCAAAAGTGGGCTAATGTAAATTTTGAGCCATGTCCTAGGATATAAAGTGTGTAGCATTGTAGAAAGAGGGAATTTAATCCCAGTTGGCTTTTACAAATAGGCCATTTTAATGCTTGTGATTTAAGCCTAGACTGACCACGCAGTCACAAGTATACCTCTAGGGGTTAATCGTTACAGCCCAGGTCACGCATCACATTGTGTATAAAGATTGCACAGAACTGCATTTGAAATACAAAAAAAATCCCCAGTAAAACAGCATGCTGGGAGCACATTTAAAAATGAGACAGGGTTTAATAAATGGTCATTTAATGTGGCCTACGAATTTATTGAAAATGCTGTTAGCGTAACACTACACACTTATTGAAAATCCTGCTAGCGTAACACAGATTTTTTGTTTTGTAGGGAGTGTACATTTTAACCTTCTTAAGTGATTGAAAAAACTCAGCATTAAACAGTAATATAACCGGGTGTGGAATAGTTACAGGGTTAACAGCTTACATACCAACATACTAAGTCATATATTGCTCTTGGTTAGAAGCCCACATGTTTGTAAACAGGCGAGCCATCCTTCTGTACAAATATCAAGCCATTATTAAAGGACCACTATAGTCACCCAGGCCACTTCAGCTCAATGAAGTGGTCTGGGTGCCAGGTCCCCCAGGCCACTTCAGCTCAATGAAGTGGTCTGGGTGCCAGGTCCCCCAGGTTTTAACCCTGCAGCTGTAAACATAGCAGTTTCAGAGAAACTGCAATGTTTTACCGAGGTTAATCCAGCCTCTAGTGGCTGTCTCACTAGCCGCTAGAGGCGCTTCCCCGAGGCTCAATGCGAAAATTGCATTGAACTCACGCTGGACATCCATAGGAAAGCAGTGAGAAATGCTTTCCTACTGGCGTTTTTAACGCGCACTCAGCTCTGGCCGCACTTGCGCATTCGGCTCCACTCCGGAGCGGACGTCGGAGGGGGAGGAGAGGTCACCAGCGCCGAGGGAGCCTGGCGTTGGATAAAGGTAAGTGGCTGAAGGGGTTCTAACCCCTTCAGCCCATTAGGATGAGGGCTCTGAGGATTATATAGTGTCAGGAAAAGGAGTTGTTTTCCTGACACTATAGTGATTCTTTAAATAGGGAATTAAACCTAAATGCAATGCAGGTTATTTGCTTACAGAAACTCATTAAGAGAAACATTTTTTTCTTTTCTTTTTAATTAGTGGTGTTACATATTCATTTTAGAATAGTTTTAATTTTCTGTTTAAAAAAAACAAACAATAAAAAACACCATGTAACCTTATTATAACATTTATTTCCAGAGTCAGGACAGTCTCCTTATTGCAATCAGATCCACTGGTGAAATCATCCAGATGGTTGGTTCTCGTAAAGAACCATTTAGGACATATGATGTAAATTATAGAATCTATTTTAGTCTGATGGCCACTCGTATTTGTGAAAATTGCCAAATATAAACAGGGCCATTTTGTTTTCTTCATTAATAGCAATGTCTGCAACATACAGGCTACCGGGGCAGCATCTATGTCCCAAAATCACTTTACTAAGAAGTAGTGGTTGTGATGCTTACACTGTCTCTTTTAAGTGGTTATGGTGCTTAGAGTTACCCTTGTTAATTTGAGTAACCCTTGTTGTATTTCACACCTTCTAACATTTCAAATAATACGTACCGTGAGGTAATGTAATACTTGCACCATCTACTATTGCCTGAGCAAGGTCATGGTCATTTGCTTCCACTGCATAGGCCGCAGCTTTCAAAGCGTCCCAGATCTCCTTGCGCCCCTCAAATGCTGGGGCTGTATCCCAAAATTCATCCCGCTTGCTGCGTAGCTGTCCGTCCGTCATAGGATAGTCGCTCTTCCATCTCGGCCTCTCTTTCTTTAATGGCTCATTACGACCTAATTGGATTTGCCAAAACACAAGTGGTTTTAATAGACATAATGGAACAAAACATTAAAAATGAAATTACCTAACAAATCAATTTGTCTATCCAGGAGAGATTGCCCTAATTAATTATTTATCATTATCTTCTTTATAAAGGCACCAACATGTTTGCATTACTGTATACGCTAACGGAGTACATGAAACACACATAAGGAGTTCCAGTGAAGAAACAAGAGTATTTGTAAAGTATGTAATTTGCACACACTATGTTTTAGGTTCATTTCAAAGTTCCATCAGCTATACGTAATAAGCAACAAGTGATTCATGGGTTCCTGTAGTAATCATCATTATGATTAACCAACCACATATTATGTACAATAAAGAAAGATATTAAGTAGCAGACGACCAGCCAAATATTAAGCTGTATATTTTCATCATTCTTGTGAGTCAATAGTGATTCTAAAATTTTTATTAGATAAATTCAATGACTGTAAAGCTGAATTATATGAGCAGACACACACAGCACTGACTGACCTGAATGTTTCCTGCAATTATATATTTTTTTATTTTATTTTATTATTATTATTAGTTATATTATTTATATTTAAAAAAGAAGCACAAACAGAAAATAAAAATGTTATAATAGTAAATTCAAAATACATATTCCTTAGAAAGTCACTAATGATTGCTCTAGGCAGAGCCCATATGTAAATTGTCCTGTAAATGTTCTCTGTTTTTCCTGCTATTTGAAGACGTCTGCAAAGAAATATTATTATTATATATTAAAATAATGTTTTGTTTGTGTTATTTGGGAAAGCTGCATCTATGTCTTCAGAAAACAGGCATGAGAAACTTCCAAGGCCTAGACAGCAGACAACAGCTAATCATTAAATGGACACTGTTTAGGCACTGTAACCGTTTCATCTCATTGAAGTGGTTATAGTGCTTGGAGTCCTCTGGCGTCATCCTTCCATTCACAGTTAAAACACTTTATATGTTTAAATGCTAAATGAGAGTCCCCAGCGGCCCCTCTGTACTTGCTGGTTGAACTAATTAGGGAGCATTAACCTAAGTAGGAGTGGGCATCTGTGCTAGGCTGAATGCATCAGCTGGCACTCTAAGCCTATTACTGCGCCCACTGCTGGCATGAATTGGTATAGCTAGGATAAATAGTGTAATCTCAGACTCCCATCAGTCTCAGTCAGACCAGGAAGTCACCCTCCTGCAGGGGGAGGCTAAAAATATGTAATTTGAGACTTGTGTGCGTGTGTCAGTGTGAGTATACCTGTGTGTATTTATGCATCAGTGTTTTTCTGTGTGTGTGTTTGTGTCAGAATGCGTGTTTGTGTTTTTCTCTGTGTTAGGGTGTGTGTGTTGGCATGTGTGTATATGTGCATAGATCCCAGCATTCAAAGTCAAACATCAACACTACAAACAAACAAACACACCCTTCCAATCAAACACCAATACTACATGCAAGCAAACTCCCACACTACATATTAACACACTATTGCAATCAAACACCAACACAACATACAAACAAACCCCTGTATTAAAATGCCAACATTATATACAAACAAACCCTTGCATTCAACCACACAACTACGCCTCTGCTTCGAAGAGGCAACAGTGCATACAACTACATTCAAATGCCAACACTACACAGAAAATAGAGGGGGGGAGGGGGGGTGACAGAGGGGGAGACAAAAACAAGTATTCCTCCAGGGCCCTGTCTACATTAGTTCTGCTACTGCCAGGGAGGCATATAGTAAGGATATCCCCGGTTTGCTTCCAGGTTGTTAATTAAAAGCAGCTCTGAGCTGTGTACATACATTTGATAAGGAAGTCTGTACAAAAACTAGAAAGATTTGAGCATGCAAAAACAAAAAATTAAAAACAGCATATTAATGAGGGCAAAATCTATAAAATGCATTAAAAAGTTTTATCAGTGCCCGGAGTGTCCCTTTAAAAGGCATTAGTCAGACTATGCCACCCATTTCCTACCCGCCGGTATTATCACACTGCTAAACGTCTTATCCTTAATGTATGAACAGTCAGGGCTACCTAGGTCAGTCTCCTGAACAGAAAGCATATATGGTGTAAAAATGGAAGGGTGCCCAGAAAAGGGAGAGACTCATGATGTGTTGGCAGAGACAGGCAGGGAGCTGGCACAGCCAAACAACCTCCCCCCTGCCATACCTAGAGATTAGGGAGATTTGGAATTTACAAGATTTGCCCTAGAAAGCAAGGTACAACAGACAAGTCTTCCAATATGACATTTCAGACCGAGAGTCTGCACTGGAGTTCAATCCTAAAACTCTAGGTACTAAAGTGCGAATTTGTTGTGTTTGAATAAATATCGCTAATCTTACAGAAACAAAAGGAAGTGGCTACATATGTAATTCGAATATCTGTCAATCTACTCTACAATGATGTAACATGACAGAAAAAAAAAAAAAATCCAACAAACCAAAAAACTGATTTGCTAGACAAAGGGAAATATTTTTTTATTTTTTTAATATCAAGCTGTGCACGTTACAAATTTAAAGCTGATGCTAAGAAAATTTGAGATTCCTTCCAAGGACATTTTGCTTCACAAGCGTCTTACCTGGGGCAACGCATTAATAAACCGGCCTTGATTTTACTGGCGATTTTTTACAAAAAATACACACTCAAAGGGAATTGTAGGACGATAAATAATTTTTTTTACATTTTCATTTCCCTCCCCCTCCCCCACATATTACAAATGTCCAACCGGGAGGAATCCCTGACCTCAGAAAATTTACTTTTTTTTGGTCAAATATCTCTCCATCTGGTGCTAAACCATTTAATGCCATTTTCACTGCCATTCAGAGGCTGCGTAAAATGGATTATTAAATCTAAATTGGTGAGCAGCTGTGTGATTGTGGACATTGAGCAGTAAAGGGCAGTTATGTTACGCTTTTTCCTAGCAGTTACATCCAATTCGAAGACTCTGTATCAGCAGGTCAAACCGGGTCCTAAACTAGAAAAGTTCACAATGACGACCTCAACACCTGCACATAATTAGGAAGCAAATACAAACATCCAACACCTGAATATATGTATTCTAAGTCACATGAAGTAAAACTATGTTTACAGCCCACAGACATATTTAGACAGAAAAATGAATAAATGCGCAAGCCCCGTCTGTATCTCTTTGGCAATCTGGTTATTGCGTAGTCAATGGGAGACAAACAAGGCAAATAATCCAGATCAATAAATTGCATTGATTCTGTCAAACATCACAACCGGTGTCACAGATTAGTCTTTGCTTCTGTCTCTGATAATCCGGTCTAATCCACATGCGCACACAAGAGCGAACCTCATGGAAGAAGATCCTTTATTGCTAGTGACATAGTAACTAAATAATGTAATAAATAGATAAACTCATAGCAGAGTGTTTAATGCGAAAAAAACTGCCCGTATGGGTGGGACCAGTCTGATATGCTTCAGATATGTTCTTTCTGTAATGGCACAAGCTGAGCTAAAACCAGCATGAGTTCTGAGCGGGGACCCACCGAAGGGCAGGCTATTTTAGCTGCTGTCCGTTCTCAGAATACTCTTGCGACCCATTGTTTGCTTTTAATGCGAAAAAAAGACTGCAGAATGAAAAGGAGTCAAAATACACCGCATCGGCTCCACACACATCATATACACAGCCACCACACAAATGCACACATCACAAACCAAGTTACTCCCATTGCCGTGGAGCTCTGTGATACACTCACACACTACAAACTATTGGTTTTTACCAACGTGGAGCTCTGTGATACATTCATACAATCAGCACGTTGCGTTGAGTTATATTGTTGAGCAGCTCTGTTATACATTCATTAATTCATACTGCATATTACCGAGCTTCATTGTTGAGGAGCTCTGTGGTAAATTCATATTGCGCATTACTGTGAGTTTCATTGTTGAGGAGCTCTGTGATACATTCATACTATTGAGTTTGTGAGTTTCATAGCCATAAAGACTGACCCCACAGCAAAATAAATAAATCTTAATGAGTATTGTGTATGAGGAAAGCCCAGCGTTCCAAAGTTAATAAAACTTACAGTATTTATGTCATGTTTGCATTTCAAAGGGCCTTAAAGCAATCTTTCAGGGTTATTCACTAAACTCCACATTTTTAAGAATGATATCTGAATGGAAAAACCAAGGCAAAAACAGCTGATCTGGAAAAATTCTCCAACTCAACCATCGTCACAACTCGGCTATTTTTGCCATTTGGATTTAATTTGCAAAAGTTCAGAGTGTAGTGAGCAATCCCACAAGTGTTTGAATGTGGTGGGTCTTTGTCAATGTAATATGTCCATCCATTAATGGGACACTACACACAATCAGACCACTTCAGCTTATTGAAGTGGTCTGGGTGCAATGCCCCTGTGTCCCCTTAACCCAGCAATGGTAATTATTGAAATTTTTGAGAAACTGAAATAATTACATTGCAGGTCTAAGACTGCCTCTATTGGCTGTCAATCAGAAAGCCAATAGATGCACTTCCTTGTGGCTAGGTGACTTCTGGTGCTAAAATGACATTGGACGTTTTCACGCTCTGCAGTAGAACATCCAGCGTTAACTAAATCCCCACAGGAGAGCATTAAAGTAATGTTTTCGTATGGGGAGAGCCTAATGAGCTCACAAGTAGGTGAAGCGCCATCCCAGTGCCAAAGGACATTGGTGCTGAAGTCGAGTAAGTGCTACAAGGTTTTTTTAACCCTTGAAGTGCCAGGGGGCAGAGGGAACTATACTGTAAGGAATACAGATTTGTATTGCTTACACTATAGATTCCCTTTAATTCTTTCAATCGGTCTTCAATTATTCGTTGCCCCTCATATGTTTGAATATAGCACTCTCAATGTCCCCCGTGTATATGATTTCTGAAGATGCTTAGCTCCATCTCAGATCATGGTTATAAGTTCTCCTCAGTCTTGACGACTGCCGGGTGTCCAGGAAAAGACGATACATTAAACAATTTTTATATATTTGCAATTTGTGCCCTGGTTGTTCCCAGAGTGAACTGGATTGTGACATTGTTTGCTAAATCCTGAATATCAATTTAAAAGAAAACAGAACAGCACACACGAAAACACAAAATAGAGATGTTTAGTGTTTTCTTCAAAAGGTGTAATTTCTGGCGAAGTGACAGTTTCCATTTAGAGGTCCTCTGGACAGGATAATTTAAAGCTACTGCTTAACCTAGACAAAACCATTAACCCAGTGATCTAGAATATCATGCAAAGAAAATTAGGCACATCGATCATTTCTGCTGTCATCGCAAGATTTAAGCACGCACAAAAAAATTTCTGCTTCTTTGGCAAAATATAAAATAAAATAAAAAAATATCAATGGCATGGTAAGGATTTGGGAATTTCAGAAACAAAGACAATGTTTCTAAAGTCATATTTAGTGATACATTGTACCGTATATTTAAATTCATAGCGACAAATCGTACGTTTAACATGAAATATAAAGTAACGCACAAATCGAGCAAACAAAGGAGCTTTGAAAGCAGTAACTCAATAAGGGGCAGACATTTATGCAACCCTGAATGGAAATCCTACCTATCAGAGATGTCCCTGGGATCCCGCAGATTATTTTTTTCAAGCTGTGAATGACCCTCTACAAGGTCATGCAATCACCATAGAAAAGGGCAGGGTACATATACGATTACGATGCTTTAGGTATCTGTTGAAAAGCAATAATCACTACAATGTGCGTGCTGTAGTGGTTCTGGTGTCAAGAATGCCTGGGTGCCATCCAAAAGCGTCCTGCCACTTTATTTAGAAACTGTTTGACATGTACCTTGCAGAGTCAGGCTCCCATGGTCCTTTCGGTCTAAATTGATCTGACATAGCGGACGCTCATACTTCTGCATTACTCAACCAACTTGCGCCAGGTTCACATGGTATTTACTGGCCGAGAGCACCAAACTTTGTACGAGTTGGTATGGTAATGCAAAAATATGAACTCTGTTTTAGGAGATCAACTCAAACTGAAACAAACATGGGCACCCAACACAGCATAGCCTGGCACCATAATCACTAGAGTCAGTACTGTTAACTGCACTTTAAAGTTGAGAGAGTATCCCTTTAAATGCAATTTGCGTTGGTATTAATCTGAAATCCATACTAATAGCAAACCAAAAGCAGGTTATGGATTTCTGGATATTAATGAATCAAACTTATCCACGCACAGGGTCAGTTAAAACTCTATTATTCACTGGTTCTGAGCTTTTGTAGATAGATAAAAAAAGAAAAAAAAGCTCAATTGAAACCAGCAAAGGTTACGTTCTGTTTAACTAAGTACTGCATAGTTTCACCACACCTATCCAGTCTATTTGTAGGTATACGTAACACACGTCTCACCTCACTTGCAGGCATGGCCAGGTTCTACGTCAAATAATGTTATTCACTAGAACTGAAAGCTTGTGAACATAAAGTGACCTAAAATTTTAGGTCAAAATAGTTCATATGAAAATAAGAACAAAGTATTATAATATACTACATATAATTTAATTATATAAGGTTTATTATAATTGTTTAACAAAGGTGTTGTTGAAGGCTCTGAGAAGCCCCGGGTGTAAGCCTCTGTAATATGGAAAGACAGAAAAAAAATCCAATTATATTATTTGTGACAGTGCCACTTTAATGTTGCAAAAGTGATGGTAGGAGCCACAATCAATTCCAGCAGCCATCCGGTGCTCCGGAGCAGGACAGCAATCCCACAATGACATGGCAACGAAAGAAATTCTACAAGCACTCAAGGTGCTAAAGCCGCAGGCAGTTTTAATGAAACAAAAAAAGAACAGCAACGTTTCGACCTACTATGAAGTCTTTGTCAAGCTAATACCACAAAGCAAACATGAGTTGTTGTATATGAGCTATATATACACACTCATGTTTGCTTTGTGGTGTTAACTTGACAAAGACCTCATAGTAGGTCAAAACGTTGCTGTGCTTTTTTGTTTCCTTAAAACCGCCTGCGGCTTTAACACAATGGGTGCCTGGAGAATTTCAGTGTCACTTTAATGAACCATATTTGTAATTAGATATACAGAGAGGCATTGCTGTGGGTGAATGGTCATCATCATTACTTGAGGTTAATACAGCAGGTGCAGTGTTTAAATATACTTTGAATTCAATCAAATATCTGAGGTCACAACATGATTTATTGAGTTTAAGGGCTGGAATTAGGGCATTTTACATAGGGCTGGTTTTAGCTGGATCATTGTGGCGAAAGTAACCTCGCCATTGGTTTTTGGAGGGGCCTGTTTGCCAGCCTCCTGCCCTGTGACTATGGCCCTGGGATGTATTGCCCTTCTAGGAACTGATTTGGGCATAATTGATTTTCATATTGTAGTTTCTGGCCCATTAATTCCCAGAGAAAGGATTTGTACTTTTAAACTGGCACTTCGGATGCAGAATCTAGCCAAATTTAAGGAACTGTTTTCGGCTACCCAATTGCACGAACACCGCTGACCCATGCTTTCTACGCTACTTCGACACTGCGGCTGGAGACTAAGTCCCGTTCGAAGATTCGAACGCTTGTTCGAATGGGACTTAGTAATTTTCTCAGTGTAAAATAGACCGACCACACAGCCCAAATCCATGGAACTGTTTTGGGAATGAAAATGTGCTTGCGGTCGGTCAAAAGTTATTTATATTTATCTCCCGAATGGCTGAACGGATTCAAATGATTTTTGGGTAAGTTTGTATTTGAAATGTGCTGATTAATAATATGTATAGTTTTAGAGTTATGAAAGTTGGGTTAAAAGTATGTTTTAAACTGTACAGCTAATTGTGTTACCTCTCAGGTTAAGGGGAGGAGATGTGTGGGATGTAACTAGTGTGTGATTGAGTAATGTATAATTGTCAGTGGGCGTCTCCCTTGCATGGGAGAATTGCATAAAAGCAGAGTGTGTGTCATTAAACCAGAGTTCTTCTTCACCCTTAATCTAGAGTCCTGTCTCTTATTGGGGGAATTGCTATATCACTACAAGGGATTGCTATGCTCTGCATACTCCCTTAGCTAATCACTACTAAGCTCTTTTAAGAGCTTGTTCCTGTTTCACTCTCTTGGAGGAGAGTTTCACCCACTGGAACCTGGAGCCTTGTCGTAGGTCCAGGGTGGGTAGGAGACGGCGAGACCCCAACCAAGCTGCGGCGGTTCGTGGGGTCTACGGTGGTTGTGGTGTCTGGCAGAGCGGTTGGAGCCCTCTGTAAGAGCTAGGAGCATCCTTCAACGGAGGTACCCAGTCGGGGTGCCAGGCGATCTGTTACAGTCATAAGTCAGAATATGTAGGAGGGGCTGTAAAATGTACATCGTGGGTGGGAATAGCAGGTAATCTATAAATCAACATCCCTCATGTAACCTTGACTGAATGTCATAGGTCATGGAGATATGTCTACATGTCATACACTATATTATTAATGTTGTGATGGACCAGTAACGTCCTGAATTTATCAGGAGTTAAAAAAAAAAAAACATATATTAGACATATCAAATTAATACAATTTGAATTTATCCTCTTTATTTCTGGGCTTTAGATTGACTTCTAAAACATGCGATTGTACAGGTTCTCTCTTTTAGATGGTGTTTAATGGAATCAGTTTGGTAGTATTGCTTATGGACAACCCTTCAGCCTCTCATGGTTGACCAAACATGGACGGCTAACGCCATATTCGACATTTGCTTTAGTCAAGTTGCAGCAATTGGATCAGACTATACATGGCTAGGGAGAGCATGGTTTCTGTCCAACCGCTCAAAAATTGTGTATATAGAAGTCTTCAATGTAAGGGGTAAAATTAGATCAGCAAGCCTCCATAGATTTGTAAAATTCAACCCCCATGATGCCCAATGGGTTAGCTGTGCATCATAAAAATTGCATATCACAAAACATAAACCCCCAAGTTCTCTCTCCCATACCATCCTCCAGTTCTATTTCCCTCTCCCCTTCAGCGATCTCTCCCTCACAGCCATCACTCCCTGTACCCTCAAACCACCATGTTCTCCCCCACAGCCACCACTCCTTCACCACCTCAGATACATCTCTTCCAATATCTCCTACTGCTTGAAAGAAGACATAAGGAGCTTAGATTAATAAGCATTTCTGGGATTTTCCATTAACCTATGACGTGTGTTCATAGTTCAAGTGATAAAATAATGCATCTTTGTATAGAATAACTATGTATATAAAAAACCAAACAGAAAATAATGTAATTACCCTAGTTTCTGCACACCCTAAATAGGATTTGTGTAAATACATAAAGCCTGTTTATGTGATCGGCACCCCCATTTTCCCCAAGAAGCCTTACTTGCTAATTAATTTGATAGTCTGGAAGAGCTGGAATTCTACACTTGAGCATCTCTGCTTTAAAAAAAGATTGTGGAGTCACCTGAATTGAAATATTAACTGTTCATTCTGGCAAGAATTAAATAAAAAATGGCCAATATTGCAGTTTTATGTATCTTTAAATCAGCATCAATATATAGAATCCACGGTTTCAACAGGTAAAGATCAAAATAGAAATTTATTGAGGATAGGAACACACGAAATATATAGAACCTTTCAGCCTAGAGGATTTAAATCACTTATGGAGATTCAACACATCAAACCGTTTAAATACCTTGAAATTGGAACCAAAATTAGGTGCTCCTCCCATGGTAACAAATTAACAGAAGTGTAAACAATCATAGTAATCATATCCATGCTTGGTAACTATCCCAACTAATATAGACCAAGATATAAAAAAATAAACAGTAACAAAGAAATAAATAGAAGAAAGCATGTATTCATTGTATTTGATACTTCTATTTGGAGGTTTCAGGCCTCTACCACGTAGTATCAGGTAGTGTACTGGCTCCTCACATTACCCTTGAGTGTCACATTATTAAGCATTTTCATTAAATTGGCAAAACATATATTGTAGTTGGCTCCATATAGTCAATCTGCTCATATATGTGAGGTTTGAGTTCAAATCTTGAGTGGTTCCACCTTCAGGTAATGCCATAATCTATTACTGTCATGTTTCGTGTCTTAGTCCCATAAAATGTTGTACTTTGGGACATGACAGCAGGTTTGAATTTGCAGACATCAGCACACTAGGAATTAAAAGATATATAACGACGGAGAGAACCTATAATTAACTTGCTGTAAGCCACCTCGTTCAACCAATCAATCAACACTTCCTAAAATTAGTCCGATGTGCAAATCAATTCTCGTATTAACTACACAAGCTCATTACAACACAAGCCTGTCAATAGAAGGTGCATTAGTCCTACTTACAGGAGAGAGACTCTTCGCTACGAAGCGAGCACCCTCTCACACAGCAAGAGGACATTACAACCACTCAATGCGGATTAGGAAATTTTCAAGAGTAACAATCTTGAGAAAAACATTCCGATATATTACAGCATTTTAAAATATGACTTTGCAAAAGGTTAGTGGTTTATTCACTAAAAGAGAATATATATATATATATTCTGATGAAGAAAATATGAGAAGATGAAGGCCGCTGTCCAGACAACTGTAGTTCTAGCAACAGCTAAGATTCTGCAGCGAACCCTCACATCTCTGGTAGAGGAACGAGAATGAGAAATAAATATACCCACCCCCCTGCCCCAAATTTAGAAATCAGTCTGTGCAAAAAAACATATATTGTTGTTGTACGGATATCTATCTACCTACTATGGAAGGGACTTTATGCAGCTTTGATTGTCCTCAGCTACCTCAAGATAGAAGAGGACACCACAGGAGATTATTCGCATAGCCTTATTTTTTAAATCTCTGTGTGGGTGGTTCTCCTCATACAAGCATGTGATACACAGACTGATGGAACTAGGTGGGTGGAGTTCCGAGGTGTGACCATCATTCATTCCTGCAACTACCATTAGTTTGTCCTGTGCAGCATGAAGGAGCATTTTGAGAAATCTGTGCATGCCTACAGGGCTGACAAGGTATTCTCTAAAGTGAGAATTGTCAGGAATCAAAGACAATGTAACATTTTAGACCAGAAATAGCTAAACTGAAAGCATACCTAAATTGCAGTCTTGTTGCTTAATTATCTGCCATTTAGGAGTTAAATCACTTTGTTTATGCAGCCCTAGTCACACCTCCCTGCACGTGACTTACACAGTCTTCCTAAACACTTCATGTAAAGAGATATAATCTTTACACTTCCTTTATTGCACAGTTTGTTTAGGTTATAATTTCTTGTCTTTTGCTCTGTTAATCGCCCTCTAGACATTGCAGGGGCCTCCCGTTTGTGATTAAAGTTCAATTTACAGAGAAGGAGATACAAACTTCTAAAGTGAACACACAGAGCTGATAGAAAAGGAAACAATTTTTTCCATGCAGTTTGTGTCAGTCACAGAGAGGGAAGGTGTGGCTAAAGTTGCATAAACAGAAACAAAAGTGATTAAACTCTTAAATGGCAGGGTATAGAGCAGTGAGAGTGCAGGGGCATGATCTATACACCACAACTGCTTCATTAAGCTTAAGTTGTTTTGGTAGTTGGAGTATCCCTTTAAGCAAATACCCTCCAGGCATATGGATAATGAAATGAGCAGTGATGAAATTCTGAGGATTAGGGCGGTACAGATACTCTTTAAATAGGATTATCACATGCTACAAAGAGCAGAGGTTTCAACACTTTAATTGCATATTACCAACCAGTAGATATTAAGTATCCAGGTATAAACCTTGCTCTGAGAGATTCTATCACCACCTTATGATGGTGTTAACGAAGCAGAATGAGAACAGAATAAAAATAAAATCGAGAACAGTGTGGGGTACTGATCTCAAATAGGGCTTATTAGCCCCAATTAGGCAGAAATGCACATGTATAACTTATAAGTAAAATAATACTGGCATCCCTTTAAGGATTTTGTGCAACAGGATTCATATGCCCTTTTCATAGAGCAAGACTATTGATTACACTCCACACTGAAAGGGAATTGCTAGCCTAAAGTAAACATCTTTGGTACTGGAGTCCCTTTCAGGAATAGAGTAAATCTACCTATCATATATACAAAGTTTTACTTACAGTATTTTAAACTGTAAGTCCATTTTATTAAGAATGGGATTGGTGAAATAAGTAATACAATCCTTTCATTCTCAGTCTATTGTCCGCACGGTAACCTTGGATAATTCACAAGATGCCTATCACGCAATTTCCTCTTTGTCCAAATTCATAGACTGCGCTTGTGAAGTCAAAGATAAACTCATCCATTGCGTGTGCTTCATTGAAAATGGCTGGGGATTTTATGAAAGCATACAGGACTGTACTCTTAATGGAATTCATACATTGACTGGGTTCCTGATTGAACCTATGTAAGAATTTACAGTTTATAGAGAAGATGATGCCAATTATAACCATTATAAATAAAGAGCCAAATATTCTGCAGCACTATACAATTATATAACAGGTTTAAATGATAACAAGTAACTGGAGTAGAAAATATTAACAAGACAAGAGATAAAGAAGGACCTGCTCAAACAAGCTTACACTCTACTAGGAAGGGGTAAAGACACACAGGAGGAAGAACAGCATGTTAGAGTGAGTAGGGACTGATGGGTAAGATGCCAGTGTTAGGCATAACCCAGTAAAAAGTTAAAAGTTGTGTGTGGAAGAACTAAACCATTGAAGGAGAGAGAGGAAGCTGGGCTATGGAAGTGAGGGCAGGGCCGGCACAACCGTTAGGCGAACTAGGCAGTCGCCTAGGGTGCCGGCCTGCTGGAAATGCCCACTGGGATATTTCCTGGTGGGCTCCCGCTGTCCTGGGCCGCAGCACTGGGTGAGCGGCTCTAGATCCACCCCACCTCCCCCCTCAGCGCCGACCCGATCCGCCAAGCACCCGTCATTTGGCCACCTCAGGGCACACCCGATGCTGTCCTTCAGTATAGCAGAGCAGACACCTGCTTAGCCAATGAATGCTGGAGGAGAGGAGGTAGGTTGAGGCAGTGTAGGCGGCAAGGGAGGCTTTTCTTGCAGCTCCCCACTGCTCCCTCGTGCGTCCTCTGTGATGCCGGGAGCCGGAACGACATTGTACTAAATAGAGCACTGGAGGAGTGAGGAGCTGCCCCACACTGGACCCCAGGGAGGTAAGGAGGCTGGTAGTGATCAGTCAGAAAAATTAGCCTAGTGGCAGCATTCATTACAAACTGAAGAGCAGCAATGCGGGTATTGGGAAAGGCGGATTAGTAGTAATTTGCAATAGTCCAGGCTTTTTGAGGATGCAATTTACGATTGCATGTTAGAGGGATGACAATGGCATTATAGCATTCTGAAATGCCACATTAATTTAATTTAGTTTAATCTATGAATGTGCACACAGAATGTGGTGAGCATTCCAAAAATGTCTGCAGGTCCTGCTCCTACCAGATCAAATGTGCATCTCATAAATAATTTTTAAATATTGGGAACTAACTAACTAACCAGCAGAGAGAATAATTCTGCTCAACCAAATCTGATTGTGACAACAGATAAACAATTGGCATATCTGGTCTACCCTTTCACAGGAATGTTAGAGACAGACTGAGAGCACTGGTCTATTTCAGCCCATCACTGCCATTTAGGTTGGGCAGAATTTGATAAAGTACCAAAACAAGATTGTTCCTTGGAACAATCTAACCAACTCTATCTTATCACTATCTTATAACTGAAAGCCAGGGTTCAACCAACACTAGTTATTAGACATAAATAGTAAAATCAGTCACCTGCTAACCCACAGTGTTCTAGAAACCAGATGGTACAAATGTATCTCTTTCTAGATAAAACTAAAATAAATAAAATTCACAATATTTCTGATAACCTCAGTGTCGGAAGATAAAATAAAAAATTATGATGGAAGAGGACTATTGGTTTCAGATTTCTAACAATATATGAAGGTATTTAATTATTGCAAGGATAATTTACTTGTCCCTAGATCTTCGAATGTGGGTGACATCTGTGTAATAGGAGCCAAGAACATGCAATTAAAATAATCTGAGTGCTCAATTCAATGTGACATTCCATTTTAGCCACCGAGACTGCTAGTTATCAATGACAACTTCTTCAATACAAGTGTCACTGAGCTAAAATACACCCTCGAATGACAGCTTCAAATCAGAGGAGGAAATAACGTTGGGGTTGGCGTTTTTCTGCATCAGTCTTTGGTCAAGACATTTTATAACCTTATTAAAATCCGATATTTTATGCAGTTCTTTCCATCTCTGGATTTTATGTGATTCAGAAAGCCCACATGGTCAAAAGTTACGCTAATGCAGTTCCCATAAATGGCTACATAGCAATATATAAATATGCAAAAATGTAAAAAATCCCCAAAACTCGGTAATTGCGAACAATATTTGTGTATCAGGTGCAGACAGTTTGGATTAAAGTATCACTTCACTGGAAATTACACCATTAAATAAAATCACTGAAAAATATATATTTATATAATATATATATATTTTCATTTAAATGATCTTCACTACAAATAGAAATATAGGACAACGTTCGTTTGACGGACTATCAGAGTACCTATAGACGCCCACTCTGCCTGTTAAAAAGCAAAATTGTTCGGGAGCACTGTCCTGGCTGTTTAAGTTATCTCCGGAGTCTTTACCTGGCTCTTTGCAGTGTGCCTCAGCCCTGGTCTCCCCTACCTCCCTGAGCTGCTCTACTTGTGCAGCAGTCCCCAGAACCTGGATCCTGAACCAGGACATCCAGCAAACAGACAGCAAAGAGACTGGTAATCCTGGGTGAACCAGGCAAAATGCCAATGATTTTTGGGGATTCTGGAGGCAATTAAAAAAAAAAAAAATGAAGATCCTAACTTAATGTAAATACTTTCCTGGTTAGCATTTCACAAACATTGTCTTTCTTTGATTACCACCCCTATCATGCTCATTCAGTATCTGGATTAACATGTTGGGAGTTCTGTCCTTCTGGCATGTTTTACATAGGTAGTCTGTTACCTGTGCAACTCAAGTTTGTGTACTACAATGCCCATCATGCTCAGTCAGTGTCAGGATGACAATGGTGAGGTGCTAATCCACAGAAACTTTTTAGAAAAGTTAAGATAGATGCTTCCTCTCCCTGCCATTCAGAGCTGAACCACCTGGATGCCATGACTGAAATGGCAGAGAGGAGCCATTTGGCTGCCTGGGAATGGTAGGGATGAGGGAAGCTGTGTTGAATTGATAGGGCTAAAGGGAACCATCTGGCTGCCTGGGATTGTGACTGTGGGCAAGAATGGCACCATATAGCTGCCTGGGATTGATATGATTGGGGACATAATTGCATGGGTAGTGTGATGAGCAAAGTATATGGCTGGAGTAGTGTGATTGGTGGAACAGTGGTGATTGGATTATGGGTAATTGATTGGGACTGGATATGGTGATTAGAACAGGATTATGAGGGATTATGGTACTGGGTGTGATGAGGTAATTGTGGAGACTGGGTGATGAATGTGGTTGTTGGGAGGGATATGGCTGTGAGAAGATGTACTTGGAAAGGGGGGGGGAGGGCATTTTATTAGTTTGGAAGGGGGGATTGAGGTGCTCTCGTTTCCAGGATAGATAGGTGTCGCTTTCGACATTTAAATTTTATTTTTCAAATCTAACAAAAATATATTTGTTAAAAATAGGAGATATACAAACATGAGATTACAAATCCTGTGAAATGACATTTCCCCTTTAAGGACACCAAAAAAAAAAACACACAATACACACAAAGTGCCACCCTTCACATTTATTACAAAAAGGGTTAAAAAAAAAAAAAGCAGCTGGGAAAGGGGCACGAGTTAAAGGCCTCTATCTGAGAGAAGTCATGAAACATAATCTGATCAGACAGAGCCTTTCTTTCCAAATAGAGGGTATCTGATTACACAGAGCAGAGATGCATTATTTATACAAGGGCCAAAAGGTTTCACTGACATTCACTGATGCGGAATTCAAACAACAGCAATAGGACGTGAATATTGACCTTACAGTTAAAACTGAAAACCTCTTAATCCTTAAACAGAAAAAACGATGCTTCTTTAATTTAAAAAGAAGACAGCAGGATTGAAAACAGAACTCAGGATCGGTTTGGCTGTAAAATGTTTGATAGGAAGGAACAGAGCCTGCAAGATTAGGTTAGACTAGCTTTAAGGGTTTAAATTACATAGAGCTGACCTTGAGATCGGGACTTCTTAATCCCTATACAGGTGGGAAAACCAACAATACTCTGTATTCACTTCTAGCTGCAGATCAGACAGGGTAAAGGAACCCTTACTCTTAACACATCGATACATGCTCCAAAACACAAAATTAAACCTTCCAATGGGCCGCGGTTCAATGAAACATTAACGTTTATTTTATCTCAATGAAAAGTAAGCAGTAAATACATATTTAACAAACATTCCTCGTTAGAATAGGCAAGACCTATTTCAGGCCCAAATCCCTCTATCTTTTTCTTCTTGTTATTTTTATCCAAAAAACCCTCTTTTAAACAGCATTTCGCAGCATAGAAAAAAAACGAAAAAAAAGCAAAAGTAATGGAAGAAAAAAAGAAACCGGTAGTGCGCGCACAAGTACAGACAGAAATGATGTGATGTTCTTGCGAGGTCAGAGTTGTACACAGGATCTAAATATTTAACAAATATAAACACAAAAAAAAAAGGGGGGGGGGAGGAATTATATAAAAAACAAAAATAAAGAAGGGGATTATATAATAAAATATTCTGACCGGTATATAGTCTATTACAATGTAGTAGAATTTACTGTTACTTATAAAAAAAACTGCGTGGGGAAAAGCATTCTGTCCCTTTGCTCCTGGCAGTGTAAAAGCCAGTTTAGTTGGTGCAAGTGTGCTCACATCACAGAAATATGTGGATAGCCAGATGAGGAAGCAGAGACTCATCAAATGATGCTAGAAGCTAGGGGGAGTGAGGGTGAGGAGGATTAATGGCTCCAGGCATTTTAGACTAAGAATAAATGGGACAATTAAGCGCTACTGGTTATGGTGCTAGGAATTTGCCTTCAAGTTTAAATATTCTGTGTAATGACAAGGTACGCGCTTCTACTGCACACTACTTCACTCGAGTAAAATGTCCTTTTAAAATTTACACTAATATTTATATACTTTTATAAAGTCTGATGTCATGCAAAACAACTGGTAGACTCACATGTAATAGAGCCAGTTTCTCAACTTTACTTTGCATGAGCCAAAAAAGCAAGAAGGTTTATAGTCGACAAGGAATGAACAATTCATTCATTGATAAACCTTATGGAACATCAGATTCTGGACATACTGGTTGCTATGGTGACAAGTTTCTTGCTCACTGGCTACTATGCAATGTATGATTACAGGACAATTTAAAGGACCACTCTAGGCACCCAGACCACTTCAGCTTAATGAAGTGGTCTGGGTGCCAGGTCCAGCTAGGGTTAACCCATTTTTTTTTATAAACATAGCAGTTTCAGAGAAACTGCTATGTTTATAAATGGGTTAAGCCTTCCCTCTAAAGCCTCTAGTGGCTGTCTCATTGACAGCCGCTAGAGGCGCTTGCGTGATTCTCACTGTGAAAATCACAGTGAGAGCACGCAAGCGTCCATAGGAAAGCATTGTAAATGCTTTCCTATGCGACCGGCTGAATTCGCGTGCAGCTCTTGCCGCGCGTGCGCATTCAGCTGACAGGGGAGGAACGGAGGAGGATCTGAGGCAGAGAGCTCCCCACCCAGAGCTGAAAAAAATGTAAGTTTTACCCCTTTTCCCCTTTCCAGAGCCGGGCGGGAGGGGGTCCCTGAGGGTGGGGGCACCCTCAGGGCACTATAGTGCCAGGAAAACGAGTATGTTTTCCTGGCACTATAGTGGTCCTTTAAGTCACAATGTATCCTGTAAAAAAAAAAAAAAAGCACTGCTATAGTTCATGTAGCGATAGTGTAGCTAATCATCATTTTTAAAACTGTACAAGATTTTGTAACCAAATCTAGAAGTTTTAAACATTCTGAAGTAGCCCAGCCTACACTCCGTAGTATTTTATTTACGATTATACCTTATGCTATTTTACAATTATTTGTAAACTTCTAAAGCAAATACAAAACAACAGAAACAAAATTAAATTATAGGAGATTTTAAAAAAAAGAAAGAAAGATCAAATCATATAAGATGAAAAATATAAAATATAAATCCAAAACACTTAGAGAGTTCTATGTTTAGAGCCTATTCACGGACTGTCAGAACACTGTGAGTAACAGTCACTAAATCTCAAGGCCATGTAAATAGATAAAACAATTTCAAAGGGACACTTTAGGCACCATAATCACCTAATCTCACTGAAAAGATTATGGTGCAGTCTCCATGTTAAATTCTTTTCAAAAATTGAATGACGTTTCCCAGGCATCTGCAGGCTGGCACGAGATGATGACATGAAAAGAAGTTGTTATGGTATATGAGTATCCTTTTAAACAGTGTTTGGTCCTCCCTCTACATGAATTATTTTTATTGTTGGCATTAATATATCGTCAACGTATTCCGCAGCGCTTTACAGAGTTATAAAGGGGAAACATAACAAATGAGATTGACCTGACTGGAACGCTAGGTCGATGAGGACCCTGAACAAACGAGCTTACTATCCAGAAGATTAGTACACAGAGTGAAATTTGGGCAACAGCTAGGCTAACGTTGTGTAATTCTCGTTAAATTACATTCCAGTGACCTAATTACAGGATACTTGAGTTCTATATTTCAAAATAAAGGAATGTTGGCTGCCGGACAAGTTGTCAACTTACAAAAAATAAAATGGTGACAATTTACTCTTGCCTCACAATGCCAGCTATATGAAATAAGCATCATGCAAATGGGTTTCGTCTGGCAGAGGGTAGGAAATCAAACTAAATTATTCCAATTGCAGGGCGGTTACGTATATATCTGTAGGTTTTATCTAAACAAACATCATGTTTTACATTTTTTTTTTTTAGAAGTTAAAAAATAAGTGCCAACCGCCTAACACTTATTTCCGGAATGTTAATGTAGGCTATGTGGATCATTATCAATCTGTTAATTTTAAATAAAATAATTATTAATATAGTACCAACAAATTCTGCAGCGCTGTACAATGGGTGGAATAAAAAAAACCAAACAAAAACCAGACCATATTAAAAAGGTACACATTCTTCTAATGATTATTTTTGAAACCAAGGGCATAATTGGCACTTTCATATCCGGCACAGCAGAAGATGACTAATCTAGTTACATATATTCATTTGACTAATAAAACTATTAAAAGGCCTAACAAAAATTAAAAATAATTGCAGTGTGCCTTTCCCAATCAATCAAATACTGCACAGAGAGATATTTCCACACCACACAAAACGTAGATTATGGACACTTCTAGACACCAACAGCACAACTTAAAGGATTCCCAGAGGTTCGAGTCTAGTCACAAACCATTTAAATACTCACAAAATATATATAAGCATAGCCTGACAAATTCACAGAAACCAACTGTTGATACACTTTCCAATTTTACTACTAAGAGGTAGATCCCCAGATTTATTTATTTTTTTTAAACTACAGCTTTTATGATTCTTTGTAATTGTAAAGGCATTCTAAAGGCATGCAAAGCATCAAGGGAGTTGTAGTTCTAGAATATCTGGGGATATACCTTTAAGGCACCCCTTTCATAAATCAACTAGCACGCAAGGTTCCAAGTTTCCACTTCTCTACATCAGACGATGTTTCTCGAGGTGGCTTTATCCAAATGTTTCTTGCTTTGGACAAGTGTATTATTTAAACTAAATCTGGCATATATATATATATATATATATATATATATATATATATATATATATATATATATATATATATATATATATATATATATATATATATACACACACACACACATATACATACATACATACACACACACACACACACACACATTCCCTGGTGTATATATACACATGCCCTGGTGTATGAACTCTGTTCTTGTTTGTATTTAGTGCAGTACAGAATGTCAGAGCAGTGCCTGTATGTACCTGTGCGTACCTGTATGCTGAAGGCCATGATATCATCCTGTTATCTCAGTCAACTAAACACATTGCAAACTGATTAAAACAGCCTTGTAAGACAGGACTTGATTGTTGACCCAAAACGAGAAATTTACATTTTCGCTGGCCAGTATTTTCCTAAAGCATTTTCTCTCGACTGTTCTCTAACAAAATATTTGTTTTCAAATTAAGGCAAACACAAAAGGGGCTATTTGTAATATATAGCATACATCACAAGTGTCCCTATTTAGAAAGGACAGTCCCTAATTCCCTCTGCCCCACTTTTTTTATCCTAATATCTGATTGTTGGTGTCTCTAAGTGGAAACCAGACCTCCTCAGCAATAAAACTTTAGTTGCATAAATTGAGTCACTTCAAATTTCTCATAACCGCCCCACCCCTGGCCACAATTAAACTGTCTGTCTATTTAAATGTATGTTTTTTTTGTTAGTATAGCGGCTAGGAATTTGTATAAGTTTTATGGGAGGAGTTTACTTTTAAATAATAATAATGGTTGCCTGTAGTGTCCCTTTAAGAGAGGCAGGATAACATACACATCACAGTGACACAATACAGAGGTGAAGACCAGTACAAGCAAATAAAATAAGTGCATATAACATAAACAGATAAAATACTGGTACACAATATATAATGCAATTATAGTGTAATTACAGTTAGGAATTCATGGTTTTTTTGTTTTTTGTTTTTTAGTAGAATGGATATGAAGGCTTCAACCAAAACAATCAAATCTAACAATTCCCAAAACACTAGGAAAATAAAGCCTTGGCTATAGCAACACTACCCTACAATGATCAGCAATGGTCTACTGCAAGTCCCTTATATACACATTCTACAACCATCCAATCAAAATCTAAATAAAAAACCTAAAGAACCACTACAGTTGGGGGCCAGGAGGAAGTCAACTTGTTAAACCTGCCTTTCTGCATAGAAAGGACATGTCAAATAAAATGACCTCTGATATAAATGTAGTTTTCTAATGATGGACGGTCAGCCAATTTAAATGCAAATCACAAAAAAAAAGGGCTGTATGATTATTGTTGTACCAAAGTCACCTTGTACAAATAGAGTGGGGTGGGGGTGAAGCTGGGACAACCAAATAAAACGGAATGTTCAGGATTCATTCAATGATCTGTTCAACGGGACATGTTTATAAGAAAACTGATACAGATCAGCATGTGCACTAAAGAGCATTTAACATGTATCAACACACTACATTACGTTTCTCGTTCTGATCAGCTGCTAGTTGCTTTTATGTTGACATTTAATAAAAATTTTTTATAGGATTAGCAGTCACCTATGCAACACAAAATTGCTATTTTCACAGCTGGGTTGAATAAATCTCATTCAGAGATATAGCTGCTTAGTCCCCCAGTCCCTTCTTGGGTCTGGTTAAAAAAGGGACTTTACACACCTTTTCCAGTGCCATGGCTGTCCGTTTGCGACGCTCGCTCTGCCCATGCTTTACTTCCCTGGCCGAGATCATCAAACTTGATGATCTCAGCCAATCCAATGCTTTTCCATAGGAATGCATTGGGAGTCTATCGCGCATAATGCCACTCTGTGCCAATCAGCATCTCCTCATAGAGATGTATTGGCTCAATGTAATTCTATGGGGAGCGTTCAGCATCTCCATTAAGAGCGTGGAGACTCCAAACGTTGGTGCTTCAAATTGTGTAGCACTGACCCAGAAAGCACCTCTACTGGCTGTCTGAGTGACTGCAGTCATTTTCTCTGAAAATGCAGTGTTTACTATAGTGCACCTTTCCTAATTTGGATTCCTAGCAGGGTTTATACACCTAACTGGAAACTTAAAGGGAAACTATAGTGCCAGGAAAATAAACTCATTTTCCTGGCACTGTTGCACCCCCTTCTGTCACTTACTTGGGTCCATCGCCGATGTCCCTTGGCGCTAGCTCTGCTCCACCCACGACAGCCGGCAGGGGAGACATAATGCACACATGTGGCAATGGCCGCGCTCGTATTAGGATCTCCCTATAGGAAAGCATTAATCAATGCTTTCCTATGGTGATTCCGGCAACGCTGGAAGTCCTAATGCATAGTGTGAGGACGTCCAGCGTCGTTTAGACCAGTGTTTCCCAACCCAGTCCTCAAGGCACACCTACCAGTCCAGGATTTAGGGATTACCCAGTTGTGTCTAAGGTGTTTTTACAAGAAGGAAAAAAAACACCTTAGACACAACTGGGTAATCCCTAAATCCTGGACTGGTAGGTGTGCCTTGAGGACTGGGTTGGGAAACACTGGTTTAGACGACCACAAGTCCCTCTAGTGGCTGTCTGGTAGAGAGCTACTAGAGGAGGACTTAACCCTGCAAGGTAATTATTGGAGTTTATAAAAACTGCAATAATTACATATTCAGGGTTAAGGATGATGGGAGTCGGCACACAGACCACTTTAATGGGCTGAGGTGGTCTGGGTTCGTACAGTGTCCCTTTAATTAAAAATTAACAAGGTAATTGCTTATTCTAGGTTAAAATATCTGACCTGGTTAAAGAATTGTTTGATAATATTTGGTCTACAATTAGCAATTTCCTTTTAATTCTCCATGTACCCAGGAAAAAAGTGAATAACCCTGTTGGAATAATACTACAAATGGAGGGAAAAATATAACGGTTATTCAATAAACTGAAAATAACAAGGAATTCAAATGGAATTTTAAAAATATTCCCCCAGTCAGCTATGCTTTCAGTTCGACTACTTTGGCCTGTAATGTGAAATTCACTTTGAACTCCCTGCAATTGTCAATTTAGAGTATAACCCTGATAGTCTCTCTAACATGATATCTCCCAGGGGTGAGAATGCTTGCCTTGCATGTGATGAAGCACACAGGGCCTAAGCAAAATAAATATTTTACATATTTACAGTAACTTTATCAAGTTTCCACACACGCATTGAGACCGAAAGCGTGTACAAACAAGTTATTTCTACTTGGGATTTATTCATTTACAACGAGCACAAAAGTGTAACGTGAGCAGTAGTCTGTGAAAGGGACGCTACAGGCATCCAGACCACTTCATCTCAATAAGGTGGTCTGGGCGCCATGTCCCTGTCTGTTTAACCCTGCAGCTAAAAACACTGACATTCTGCTTTGCAATGCTTTCACTTCAGCCAAAACTCTGATTGGAGCAGCGAAGCGTTTTGCTATGCACGCGCACTGGCCTCCCAATACGTTCCAATGGCATAGCGTTAGATTGGCGGAAACCATCGTTTTCAATTAACTCATCCAAATAGGTGGAGCTGCGTGACATAGGCCAGTCCTACAAGAAAGAAGAACTAAGTAAAACTCACTTTTTTTTTTTTTTTAACCCTGGTAGCATGGGCCCGGTCACATTCACGTTTGTATTCTAATTCTATAGTGTCCCTTGAATAACAATATGTATTAGAACATGGGAAGGCAGCCTCTGTGGATTACTGTTTGCTAACAAGTCTTTGGCATAGAAATAAAATTAAATCTGCCCCATTTGGGCGTCCTGGTGAAGCAATGGTCAATATATCTGATTATATGTATAGAGTTAAAAAATTAGATCATCACTGAAAGCAAACTGTAGCAGAAAAATATTTGACTTTGTTTCCTCTTTAAAATATTTCCATTCTTTCCACATGAGATCTAGAATTGTTTCTGTTTACCAGTTCTGTTGGAACTAGATAGCACTTATTGGTTAAAGGGTACATTCTTAGCTGCGTATAGATTGGAATTATAAAAGTTTCTGGAACAAAAGTCACTTTATCTATAAAAATAAAAAAAAATTAAAAAAAAAGTTAGGGAGAAAGTTTTTTCTTTTTATTAAATAAAAGTGTGCACCTGCAACCAAACGTTTTTAATTTAGGGGTAACCCCACCATATGTGGTAGAGCACAGGTAGGCAATCTTCTGCACGCCAGATGTCATAGACTACATCTCTCATGATGCTTTGCCAGCATTATGGCTGATGTGGTCCAAAACATCTAGAGTGCCATATTTTGCCTACTTCTATGTTAGAATTTGCCCGTGTGTTGGAATCATTGCAAACAACGGGTAGGAAGCAAAAGGAAAAATGTGTGTAATCTCTCGGGTGTGAATTACCACTTCTAAATCAGAATTTTGTATGCCTCAATGTGGTTATAACCGGTAGATATTTGTTATCAGTTATACTAAAATGATTAAAAAAAATAGGGAGAAAGGAAGATCAACTCAACATGTGCCCATCTATGTATATTTTTGCCTCTCTACAGGGGTAATAATAGCATTATAACATGGGGAGAGCCCTTTTTTATATGGTGGGGGAATTAGCAATGGTTAAAATGTAGCCTCTTTTAATGTGGCTAAATTGGGCAGTTGTTATTAATATCCATGAAAAAGGCTCACTGAGAGGGATAGCAATCAGAATATAATGAATATACCGTACCACCTATATTTACCTAAATGCAGGCAACTTTTAAACACAACAGCCAATCTATAACTGGCCCTTATTTAGAATTTTGGAATTCATTCTCTGGGCATAAATGCCAGAGAGCAGACTAGATCTACAACCAGCTCAACCACTTAGCAAGTCACACATTTCACACACCTATGGACTCCGATTGTGCCTGGTTTCTACTGAGTTCCAAACTATCAACACATTCTTTTCTTAAGTAAAAAGGTCTCCCAACCTCTTGACCTTTTTAACTTTCTTCCTCAGGCCAGAAGTTTCCATTGTATGTGTATGTCTACCAAGAACAGGTTTGTTGGACAAGAGGAGACTATTTAGCTTTGGAACATAAACTAGATTTGCAACCCAATGAATGGGCAAGTCTGCTCACTGGATATTCTCCCCAAGGATCCGTATATTGCATAGTTTGAATGGGTCAAATCCTATAACCTTGGTAGGTTTTTAAACTTCCATATCTAGGAACATGTCCGATATTCACACCCAGTAGCTGCAATGTCGTCTATCTAGCATGTGCATATGGAATTCGCAGGCCACGCAGTGAAAATAATATGGTCACTGTGGTGGTTGTGTGGTGCACAATCACGAAGTGTCGGGTCTGGAAAGTGTGTATTGAAAGAACGATTGTATCCATAAAAGGACTTGCTAGGTCGTGTGAATTATCATAAATTCAAAGTAAATATGAAATTTATAAATTAAATTGGACATACTGAGGCTGTCTCGATATAGTGCAGCAAATTCTACCACACACTTATAGGCTCAATACTCCTTAATGCAATATCATAAAGTAAATACATTGTACACTTGCTTATTAATGCCACACGCTAAGGCAATATTGCACCCATCCATTTTTGGGGGATTGGTGAATAATCATTGCTGCCCTGTAGCATTTATTTATTTTTTAATAAGCCTTCCTAATACAAGGGAAGACAATTTATATGTATAATACCTATAGATTGTGGAATATAATGTTCTGGACATAAATATACACAATGCAGCAACTGGACAAATAATTGTATATAAAATAAAACATACACATCCATGTGTTCTGTTCATTTAAAAGTTATGCGTAAATTGATAATACATTAAATAGGGGTTTTTTTTTTTTGGGGGGGTGGGGGCTGTATTATATTTACATGATTAAAGGTAACAACAAAAATGCAAAAAAAAACAAGGTTTGTCTAATTCCACAGAAATGCAAATAAACGGTTACAGCAAGTATACACTAGCATGCAATGTGATGTATTTAATCAAGGTAACATGGAAGAGTAGGGAGGAGTCAATTCTACACTCACCTTGGGGCACTGACTTTAAATAGACCCTGAACTAAGCAGCAATTACTGTAGCAGGAAATGCAAATTGATACTGCTGGGAACCCAGGAATATGCATCATGTGTGGATGAGAATCATCAGACAGGTCAATAAAAATAACCAACTCCTTTTGCTAAAATGAGCTAGAATTTGGAAATGGCCGCCAGTAGGAACCCTAGAAATTTTTTTGTTTAAATGGAAATCATAAAATAAATTATTCTAGCATGCCCAAAAAGTAGCTTACCAAAAACTACATCTGTCGGACTCCAAAAAACAGAACGCAACAAGAACCAACACATGCACAATATCTGTAACATAATATATAAATCAACACGATGTATGGAGTAATTAATAGGCCTGCGCATTTTAAACATCAAGATCACGCTTCCATCTTGAAGGATTTGAAACTTAGGGTTAGGAGAGATTTCAGGTCTTGCTACACAAGTATCTCTGGTGCTGGGCACAAAATTGTCAACAGAGACAGCTCTGCTCAGGGAAATGTTCTGATCTCTCACCCAGCCCTCGGCTCAAGATCATGGCCTGGGCATTTGCCCAGTTTGCCGAATAGGTAACCCAAGCAGGTAAATAAAAAAACTAAAATCAAAAGAAGAGAAATATCAATGGGGGGAAACCGTCCTTAAATTGCTATTATTTTTATTTAATAGCATTTGCATTATTGAAAACAATGGGCTAGCTACTTAATATTATAGCAATGATCATAAGGTAAAATTGTATCAAAATTACAGAATAACCTAGAAATGGGAAAAGCACAGCTCAACATAATATATCCAAATGGAATAATTTTACTATTGCAACAAACACAAAAAGATCCACTTCAGCTGCACAAGGTCCAGACAAGTTCAAGTGCAAAGTCCACAGGTGTTTATAACAGTCAGTGTACAATTTTTTGTAAAAAAAAAAAAAAAAAAAAAAGTATTTAATATGGGTATGTAAGGGCATTTTAAATCAACAATAAAAGCCTTTTATGAGATTGAGAAACGTAGAATGTTTAATTGGGTTGGCATAGAATTGGTAAATATTGTATCTGCCTCAATACCAAGCTTTTGTAAGTAAAAGGATAATGTGGGGAGTAGTGATGTCGCGAACTTTTCACGAACGGTTCGCGAACGGTTCGCCACGGACTCCAGTCAGCAGACACATCCCGGCCAATCTGCAGCAGACCCTCCCTCCCAGACCCTTCCACCTCCTGGACAGCATCCGCCTTCAAAATGGATGCTGTCCAGGAGGTGGGAGGGTCTGGGAGGGAGGGTCTGTTGCAGATTGGCCGGGAACCGCTCGCGAAAAGTTCGCAACATCACTAGTGGGGAGGCTAGTAGGACTTGCAATTAAAATGTGGTTTTTTTTTTTCAAACCCAATACATATGTAAGAGATCACTTGCGATGGGAACCTCTGTTTTCGTGTTCCAATATAAAAAAGAGGAATGTTTAAAAGTGTTGCTCTTTTCTCAGGGCCTGTGAACTGGTTTTGAACCAGCAACTCCCAACACATAAAATGACAGTCAACGCAACTTAAATGTTTGCATGTGCAAGGAGGCATGGGAAACCAGAAGTGGAACACTAGAAGTATGGGCAGAAGAAACCGAGGGAACCTCAAAGAGTGGTATATTATTCTTCTATGTACCAATGTGTTGAGAAGATGGTGGTGGTTGTCGTTGGGATAAAGGAGCTTCTGGTAGTGAAAGGGCCTAACTAGGGGGATGGCAGCAAGATCCATACGACTAGATAAAAGGATAGAAAAGCATAGAAAGACGTGCTACTCATCTTTAGAGTTGGGCAGATTTCAAGTGTAAATTTCTGCAGGGTTAGAATCTTTTAAAACAATAAGCAGGTAACAAGCCTAGATCAGGAATGTCAAAAGATCAGTAAATCATCAGAATCTGGTATACCGAACCCAACAGAAAGGGGTGATCAAAGGGCACTATCAATACAAATATTAAATGCCATATGCTACAAACACCTGTGTACATATCCCTCCAGTATATATCAATATAAACAAAGATGTGAAATTAATTGAAGGGAAAAAAAAGTGGTGCATGCAAGTCAATATGAAAAAAAAAGTAAATCTGATTAATGGTTCTATTACGGAGCCATATTTTGATGTGCTAACATGTCCTCAGGTGCACTGAAAGGTATATAATAATCAAGATCACACAGTATAGTCTGCAATAATGAGGATTATAAGGTGGCGAACATATACCAATTGCTCACTCACAACACAGGGCCAATGTTTCCTTCAAGAGGTGAAAAGGCACTTGGCGTCTTTAAAAAGTTTCCATCACACCTTTCTGCCGTCAAATCTTGGTAATAATTCATCAGGAGCATTTTACAAAACACATATAGTGCAGGTTATCCTTCACTCAAAAACACGCACATGAAAAAGAGCCACTGTATCAAGCTCTGGGTAAAATGCCAGTGTGTTAGAAAGGGCTAACACTGCCCACCACTCCAACAAGCTGGAACTCAAGTCAGATATCGTTCAAAAAAAGGGTATATTTATTGCAACCAAAAATCATTAGAAAAATGAAAAAAAGATTTTCTTTCCCTTCCCCCTGTTTTGCCGTATATTAATGGCTTTTTCAATGGAAAGTAGAAGTCTAGAGTACTGTTGTGTTGTTTTTTTTTTGTTAAAGTGTTATGTTACTTTAAATTGTAAAATTCCAGAGGCGGTATGGCCAGCAAGGTTGGTCATAGAAACATTAATGACTGCTGTCCAGTACAGACAGATTTACAGCCGTGATATACTGCAATTCAACAGTATATCACTCTCTACCAGCAAAAATAATTGCTTCCAATATGATGACAATAATCACCACTACAAAAGCTCTAGTCACCAGCCTGCCCTAGCTGTCTTATGAAGAAAGATGTATAGGAAGTGAATGCTGCAATTTCATTAACCCTTCAGGCACATTATGTCATAAGGGGAATTTGACATACTAAAATTTAAATCATCTTTAATCTTTCACATAAAAAATACAATACACAATTGGTGGGTTAAGTGTTAGCAACAAGTGCTATAAACCGCCTGACTGGGAACCCCTTATACCACTCTAAATAACAAAATATAAATACATACAATAGGTGGAACACTTTGGGTGAATCTGTGGAGAGAATATTACATAGGATAATACCGTAGGAGTATAGTGGATGATAATAGATAAATTCCAATACTCACAAACGTGGAGCCAAATATAATCATAAGGCTCTCATAAGTAGCGCAGAGGGACTCAAAGGATGTCCCCAATCCTGCTTCCAGCTAGTGTTGGTGATAACAACAAATAGAGGTACCTTCTCAAGGATAAACTTTGCTTTATTAAACAGGTAAGCACATATACCAATGTGCACAAAATGATATAAAAATATATAAAATAACAAATATATGGGTGCTAAAACAGCAAATCCTAAAAGTATAGTCCAATAAAAAGAAGTCTAAATGGTACCTTGGTAGTATATATACTCATGAGAGCCTTATGATTATATTTGGCTCCACGTTTGTGAGTATTGGAATTTATCTATTATCATCCACTATACTCCTACGGTATTATCCTATGTAATATTCTCTCCACAGATTCACCCAAAGTGTTCCACCTATTGTATGTATTTATATCATCTTTAATCTTTAATGCCTGTAACCTATTACCCCAGGCACGCGTGCCACAGCTAGCACACCGAGCCCTCTCTGTAGGCACCCGGCCATAGGTCGCTGGTAGGGTGCCCAGCGGTGTATTCACTGCGAGGCTAACAAGGCATTTGCCTTGTACGGCACTGCCTTGTTAGCTTTGTGTCCTGGGGGGAACCAAGAGCTGGCCGGCTGGTCACCTTTGGGCACCCACCGAGGCAGGCGTCAGCTTGATTTGTGGGCTTGTAGCGAGGGAGTGCTGTAGTCTGAGCTCTTCCTGCTTCACTCCCTTGCGAGCCGCTTAGGGATGCCGGGAGACGGAATATGACGTCAGACCAGCTCTCGACATTACTAAGCGGCTCACGAGGTAGCTGAGCAGGAAGATCAGAGCTCCCGCGCCGCCTACTCTGCCAGTTCGCCCCCTGCCTGTCCAGCAGTCCCTGCAGCCCCACTGGACCCCAGATCTCCCACGGAGGCTGGGTTGAGTTAAATTAAAAATTTTTAAAAAAATAGTAATTTGAGTGTTGGGGGAAATGTGTATGAATGTGTGTCAGTGTATATATGTGAGTGTATGTGTATCTGTGAGTATGTGTAGATCTGTGAGTATCTGTGTATCTGTGAGAGTCAGTGTGTATAATGGTTGCGTTTAATTGCCGTGTTGGCACTTTGAGGGGAAAAAAGTTGGTTTGTATTGCGGTTTGGGCACTCGGACTCAAAAATGTACGCCATCACTGCCGTAGGGTGTTCAGTCTTTAAAAATATTTATCTAGGAGTGCAATTTTAAATGGTGAGAATCTGAACTAATCCATACAGCTGTGGGTCCATCAAAGGTTCGAACCATATTCTTGCATGCCTTAAAACCTCCCCCTAAAATTGAATTACTCGTGCACCCTGGAACACTGCTGTGCTGGAGAATGTGTCTGAACACAAACACTCTACGTACTACACCCAGAAGCACAACATAGCCAGTGTGAAAAAATATTGACACAAAACATGGCAGAAATTAGTGTAAAAACGGAGATACACATATGTTGAAAATATGCCACTTTAGATACCTTGGACTGTTTACGGTTACAAAACCAATACATTAAAGGAACACTTATGTTAGGAATGCTATAATGTTACCCTAAATATGTAGATGTCCTCCCCCTCCCCCTTGTGAGTGTTTAAAGGGTGTTTACCGACCTTATATCAAGTGACATTCTGGTTTCACCGCGGCCGCCATGCCTCCTCGGCTGAGAACAGCAAACAAATGAGCATGTGCGGCAAATTGCTGAGAGACCATGCATTGAATGCCAGTATTGCCAATAAAACAAATTTAAAAAAAAAAAGACCCTAAACTCAGTATGGAAATGCAATATAATTTATAAGGTGATCTGAAGACCTTTAACATTTACTTGTATAACCTGCTAACCAGATATCTTGGTATAAATCAAAATGTAGTAAGCAGGTGTGTTCGATCAAATAATATTCTGTGTGTGGGGCACAGGAATGTCCACAATCACTACTGCGATTAGACCAACTCCTCCCTGACATTTTATTAGGCAGTTTTAAATAAAAAAAATAAAACATGCCAGGTTACAATCCTGTTCAGGTTAATACAGGTGCTTCTCCAAACGTTTGGTAATTTTGTTCCAAAGCTTATACTGCTGGTACTAGACCGAATAGGGTCTCCCAGACATGAAGGAGTGAAGAATTATGCAAGAGACTAAATTCAGCCACAATCATCAGTTACAATTAGGTATGTGTGACGGACCACCTTGCACCCCGACCGGGTACCTCCGTTAATCGCTGTTTCCTAGTACTTGCGAGTACCATAAGCACTGCACTGGAACACTATAACCACCGTAAACCCCACAAACCGCCACAGCTTGGTTGGGGTCTCGCCGTCCTCCACCCACCCTGGACCCAAGACTAGGATCCAGCTTCCAGTGGGTAGACCTCTCCTAGTCCAGAGAGCGAAGCAGGAACAGCTCTTAGAAGAGCTAGTGATTATACTCAGGGGAGTATAGTGATTATAGCAATCCCCAGAGTGTAGTTCTCCAACCCCCAAACATGAGCCAAGACTTCATGAAGGGGTAAAGCAGGTCCCCATGCAAGGGGCACTCCCACCTGGACCTTGTGGGGAACTGCAGCACCAAGTCACAGACCAATAACAACAATGGTTAAATGCATGACACTCCTACATACAAACACACAAAACCTCCCCTCCGGTATCCCTGATCTGGGTGACCAACATATCCAAAAATCACCCAGATCAGTTCAGGGGTTCAGACATTTCCTGGAAGTATTATTTTTGACCTATTGTGCACATGGTCCCATGCCCAAAACAGTCCCAGAGAATTAGGGCTAACGGTCGGTCTCTCTGTCTGAAGTACAAAAGTACATACTTCACATAAACAGAGCCTTTTAAGGTGCATTGGGCAAGGTATATTGCAAGGCCCATAGTCCTGAGGCAAGGGGCTGGCTAGCAGGCCCCTCCAAGAACCCGTGACCAGGTTACTTTCGTCACAGTATGCTTCCAGGGTTATTCACTTAAACAGTTATTAACACCTTGTTGCTAACTTATCTATATGTAACTATTATGGCACTTTGTGGTTTAAAAACAAAAAAAATATATAAAATAAGCCACAAATACAGCTTAAATTCAGCGCAAGGCTAAGTTGTCCCTGAAGTTATCTCCAACTACTTTTTCGTCACAACACAGAATTGTTGGCTGGTCCTAAGACCAATCAAACTGCAAGTGAAGAAACTCACTAAATCTGTGAGGGCTGGCAACAGACTTTTTTTTTGCATAGAACTAACTAAGTAAGCTAACACACTGCACATACGGATTGCTTGCCCAATGATCACTTCTGAAAGCAGAAGTGGTCATGGTGGTTTGGTTAAATCTGCATGGAAAAATTTAGAGAAACACATTCCCACAGTTTCTATTGAAGTTGTCTGAGTGCAAGGTCCCTGTCCCCTTTAGTCCTGAAATGTAAACATTGCAGTTTTAGAGAAACAGAAATGTTTACAGTGCAGCACTTAGCCACAGTAGACCGACACTAGAGGCATTTCTGGGATTTTACCGGACTTTAGGTTGCCTGACACTGGACGTCCACTTTAGGTTGTCTTACTGATGCTGGAAGTCCTCATACTCTGCATATGGACATCCAGCATTAGTGAAAATTACATAGGAAAGCATTGAAGCAATGCTTCTCTATGGGGAAGGCTTAATGTGCTTGTAATGCTTGCCGGGCATGCACATTAGCCCCCATCAGATGACATAGATTGAGCAGGAGCTTCAACCAAGCGCCAAGGAGCATCAGCGCTGGATTTGGGCAAGTAATTAAAGTGTTATTTAACCTTTTTTTCTTCTTCCAGGGGGTGTAAAGGAGGGGGAGTACAAGGGGGGGGGGTACAGAGGGAACTATAGTGTTACGAATACAGATTTGTGTTACTAACACTATAGAATCCCTTTAAATTTACCCCTGCTTGGCCACCAGGTTAAATAATTTCCATTTAAATCAAAGACTCACAAGCAAGACTGCAGATAAGGATTAAGATCTCCCAGTGCCCTAGGCAGTTTAACATTCTGGGCCCCCCTCTTTTCTTCACATAGGGAATCAGATTCATGATTCACAGGCCTGTCTAACCTCTAGGCCATGGGCAGCTGCCTAAGGACAGGTCACCATAGGATTAATCCTGTTCTGCATGACCGGAATATCCTAAATATAGGGAGATTTGGAAAAACATTTAGAAATGTATACCATCGAGCCAGGCCATGCCTACAAAGAAAAACATTTTAATTTTCAAGTCAGTTTTCACGTAAACAAAAAAGCGTATCCAAACTTTTTGTTTGTTACATACACAAGGTTCATTATACGAATTAAACCAGTATTTTCAAGTAGAATATTGCTTTCAAGAGTAGGCTAACTTGAGGGGCGGAACCTGACCGCCAAGTGAGCAAAACGTGGGCTGCATGGGCTCCTCAGCTTCAACTCTAAAAGGAGCATACAATTAAGTAATCTGGCAAATTTAAATTGATACTGTAGTGCCAGGAATACAAAGTTGTATTCCTGGCACTACCGATCCCCCTGCCGACCCCCTCCCTCACACCCAATAAATAAAGGGTTTCTAACCCTTTATTTACTTACCTTTTCCCAGTGGTGATGTCCCTCGGCGCTGGGTCGAAGCTCCGCTCCCTCCTCTGTCCCGCGACGAGCGCATGCGCATTTGACCTCCTCATAGGAAAGCATTGAATCAATGCTTTCCTATGGGGCAATTCTGATGCAGGAGGTCCTTATGCAGAGCGTGAGGACGTCAAGCGTCAGATAACGGACAAAAAGTCTGTTACGATTCCTCTTTGGAACTGCAATGTTTAACATTGCAGCACTAGGTGCAAAAAGGACAGAGCTCCCTGACAACTTCAATTAGCTTAAGTGGTCTGGGTGCCTACAGTGTCCCTTTAAGTTTTAATGTTTAATCAGACTCTGATCGGTATAACTGGCTCCAGCTACCGGATTACTTGATGTTTCACTGGATCACTTTGACGTAGGCCGATTGGCCTACTGGAGGCGTAGAATGCGGCCAATTCCCCACTCTTACATCACTTTGGCATTACGGCTGGCCCTGCTTTCCTCACTTTGAACCTGTGGGGGTTATCCCTGTCCCCACTGGAAGGGAAATCAGCTCTTAAGGATAAAAAGACTTTGCTTATCCACCTAAACATTAATTTTAAGAGCTCTATATAAAATGGCGGCTGCCTATACATAGTATACACATTCGGCAATCTTCCCGGGAGGATTTATTTACTTACTTTGTGAGTCTATTTGGGCAAGATTGAACCAGCGCTCTCACACCGCAAAGTCGACTTTTAGAGGACTGGATGTATTCAGAAGCCTGCACCCTCTCAAGTCTTCTAGACCTTTGAAGAGGTTCATGAGTCCACTATATTGTAATTTCCTCGAGGTTGGAGCGGGCTGAAAAACCCCCACCTATCCTTGCATCTGATATCGTCTTTACATATATGCTTATAATGAGGGTGCCATTAGATGCCTCAGGTTTTGCTTTGCTTTTAAGCAGAGATACTAAATAGTATTAGTTTTGTTTATTTAGTTTAATTGTCTTACATTATTCAGTGGCACACATTCTTATTACATATTAAGCAAAGTTATTTAATAAGCACGGTATAATTTAAAATGTGTGCCGTTCTCTTGAGGTGTGTCATATTTTCTGATACCTCTCTGATGTTCATAATGGCACGTCTATATGTGAGTTTGTCATTGCACTACCAAAAAAAAGAAATCATAAAAGTATAATTTGCCAGGAACTGACAAGGAAATGTGACATGTTAGGTTCACATAACTCACCCCAAAGGATGCAGACATGATTTATTCATTTCAGTTCTGCTATTTTAGTCTACATTTGCAGTTTTCTAGTCAATTTTACACAATTCACAGTTTAGTAAATGACCCTATGAATCTCTTTTTTTTTTCTTCTTCCTTTGGTATTATTAACAAATCCTTACCAATTTTGCTGGTTAGTGAAAATATTATATTATTTTCTGTCTAAATATATTTATGCACAAATTGTATTTATTCTTCTTATTTACAAAACTTTGCAATTGCTGATAATATACAGACAGTACGTTTTAAGAACAGTGAGGTATATTCACCGACACTGAAATCAACATTGTTGGACCTCCAGCTATTATGAGTTTAAATGTATCAGAATTTTTCAGTTATTTCCTAATTTTTGTGCAAAATTGTAAAAGCATTGAAGCCTCAAAAATTAAGAATATTAATTGGGAGTCAATTGATTACTATGCATCCACTGGATAAAATGGGCCTATGTAATAATATAGTACCCAACCGTGGGGCCTTCCCATAGGAGGTCTCTTTCTGTGCTCCAGCTGTGCTCAGTTGAATAAGAATGTTCTGTGGGAGACCCAAGTGTTTGACTGTTAATAACATTGATCGCCATGATAAGTTAACATTCACACCTTCCCATACCACCAAGACAAACTAAAGGAACGGTTCAACAACAATAATCGGGTTTAACCAAGATCTTCCAGCACCAGGTCAGATTGCAATGGGTGCCTGGCAGGACCTGGGTAAGTAGTGCAAGCGTTCTTAAAGGGATCCTATAGTGCCAGAAAAACAAACCTGTTTTCCTGGCACTCTAGGCTCTTGGAGTGCCCCCCTACAGCCACTTACCTTAATCCAGCGCCAGTGACCTCTCCTCCCCCGCCAATGTCAGCTCCCGAGTGGAGCAGAATGCACATGTGCGGCCAGAGGCACGCACGCATTCAAACCTGCCCATAGCAAAGCATTACTCAGTGCTTTCCTATGGGGATCTTATTTGATGCTAGACTCCGTGAGAAGGTCCAGCGTCAAATAAGTGCGATTTACTCTGTGTAAATCGTGGAATCGGCCTCTAGCGGCTGTCAAGGAGACAGCCACTAGAGGATGGATTAACCCTCAGTGTAAACATAGCAGTTTCTCTATTTTTCTCTGAAACTGCTATGTTTACAGCTGAGGGTTAAAACTAGGGGGACCTGGCACCCAGACCACTTCATTGAGCTGAAGTTGTCTGGGTGCCTATAGTGTGGTCCTATAAAAAGAGTTTGACTACTTACTCTGGGAGATCATGAGGGCCCTCTTGGCACCATAACAACTTCAGGGGTCTGTAATGGGTATGGTACTTAAAGAATTCCTTTAAACTTCCCTTGTCTGTCCCTGTCATGTATGTTAGGCCAGTTAATCGCTTTGAAAAGGCTCTGGTTTCACCATAGAGTGGACAAACAAGCAAGACAGTTTAATAAAACAATGTCCAGTCGTGATACTAAGATAGCAAATTTTAAAACAAAATGACAGAACTGGAAAAATTGTTAAATTTTCCAAATTTGACTACTCTGGCCTCAATTCTTCAGTACTTCGCAATACTCATTTAAGAGATAAAAATTCCGACTTGAATAAAAATTAAAAATAAATTACACACACACGCAAACACACCCACACGTGTGCGCACAATGGTGTGGGTTTGTCAAGTGTGAAAACTGGACCCACACCCACAACTTAAGCTTAATTTACTAGACATTAAATGAAAAATGACATTTCAAAAAGGAAATTCAACTATTAGAGATTTTTCGAACGTGGCTAGTTTGTTGGCCTGCATTTTTGAATTTTGTTTCCAATTTCACATTATTAACGACTTTGTTCATTAATCCTCTTGTCACAGTTATATAATTTATATCACTGCCTCTGGAACTTCACCTTAAAATATTTTACAAACTCTATAAGGTGGTTAAATGAATGACGTTGAAATTAATTTATCAAAAATGCTCCAACCACGCTACGGTTATATCTGGACTATTTTTGTTTGAATTTGGATTCACTTTCAAGGCACACAGTACATATTGTAGTAAATAGACACAGTGTTGTATTTTTTTGTGAAATTGTGAATGTTAAAATTCTAGGCTAAAATAGGTAAATTGAAAAGCAGTTGTGTTGGAGAATTTTCCCAATTCAGCAACTTTCTTCTAAAATTTAAATTCACTTGGAATTACTCACAATTCACACTTTAGTGAATTATTATGTAAGTTATGTTACTTGGGCTTTATCTGTATTTATACAGTAACTGATAGTCAATGCATTAATCTTACTTGGTTATTTTTACTTGTAAGAGAGATATAAAAAAGCAGGTTCTGTTTACAAACTTAGACCTATGTTTCCTAGTTACTGGACCTGCAGTAAATAACTTATCACACTGGGATTTCATGGTTACATAGAGAAGCTGAATTCAATCAGCTGGTGACTTTGATGTGTGTGAATGCATATAGCCATTTCTGCTTGTGTAGCCTTATCTCAGATACTGTGCTGTTTGATAAACACAGCCTTCCTAATTGCAGGGTCTAATGGGAGATAAAGCAAACCTCTTAGACATGAGATTGGGGGAAGTGAAACTACATGACAGCAATGCTGAGCTGGGGAAATATTGAGAAAATGCTTGTCAGATAACCCACAGCCTTCCAGGCAATCCATGAAAGCTGGACTGCTGGGGGATGAGATATAGGATTAGAAGTGTTTTCAATGAGCAGCTGCTGCAGCACCTCTTTTTTTAGGACTATGGAGAGTTAAAGAACTGTTTCTTTCGCTGACTGTTCTGATCGTTCTGTAACACTTCCTCAAGGTTCTACAGGGATCTTCTAAGGTTCTGTTTCCAGTCTCCCTGAATGGAATGCTGTGTCTCAGAATAAATGGATACTTTGTATACATTTACACTTATAAACAATAGGCTCAGTTGTCCACCCCCTCCCCAAGGCTCTTACGGATTAGGGCATCGTGGCCCCTGAAATAGATACACATGGGTGAAGAAAAAGTCCCCAATTTTACCTGCTCTCTTGCTGGGGTAGCCTGAGGCCCTGGAGTGGGTTCTGCGATTCTCCCCTCGGGGTCTGCCCATACAGCCTCCCATGGCCGGATTGCAATCAGTAAATCCCCATGCACAGCCAGTCAGGGCAGTCTGCTCCCCCCAATCTGCAAAAGAGGGCTGAGGGGAGGTAAAGCTGGGGCGAAAAAATCCAGAAGCTGCCAAAGGGTTACTTCCAGTCTGCAGGATCTTCCCCAACTTTTCCTTGATTCATCTCAGTTTTCAGGGCAATTTCCTGCCTTTCACTGTTCAAGCATGCAGGAAGTGAGAGCACCTTGGGGGGATCCCAGCACAGCTCTCAAACATGGACACAGGATGGAGGGAGAGAAAAGTGCTTTGATCTTGCACACGTCCTGTCTGTGGACTGAGCCTCCCCTGATACTGTAATCCTACAAGGAAGAAGGGATCTGCATCCTGATTGATCTGTACAGACTGTCCTCTTCCTGTGCCCCTGCCCAAGCTCACAGGCAATGCCCCTATCAACTGTTTGTTACAAAATGTTTCCTTGTAAATGGAATCCACCTCTTACTCCTCCCTGTTCAGGTAAGAGCATGTGACACAGCCCTAGAGTCACTCTGCAGCCCAGTAAACCCCCTCCCTCCCTTTACACACAATTAATATGCATTCAAATTAACCTTTGTTGCTTGCACCCCCCTTTTCATTCACTTGAGACTGATGAGATCCCATGCTGTGTGTCTCCTTCCCAGGGATTTTTATCTCAGTTCTGCAAACCCTTCCCCTGCTGTGTCTGTTCCTCTGCATGTAATCTCCCAGCTCAAGGAGAGATCATCACTGCTAAGCTGGGGTCAGTGACCCCCACCCCCAGATACACAAAACTGCCAGGATGGGTGTCCCTTGGTGAACAATACTTCTGTTTTAATTAGATTACTGGAAGGTTTCGTCTACACAGCTGATTCATCCACATTTGACATTGTGTTGTGGTTTCAGTAGATATTTAAGCATTTCTGGCTTTTTTCCCCCCTGAAAATCATTTAATGATAACAAACTGGTCATCTGTCTGGTGTAGATAAACTTAAGGCCTTTTCTTGTAAAGGTTAAACTGGAGTATGTTGTATCAAATTGCTTTTAAAAGCGAGAATCATATATACCATGGCATGCACAGTACTTCCCAACTGTCCTGGATTCAACAGGACAGTCCTGAGCTTTAGACTTCTTTCTTGCCCTCCTGTTTTTGTCACAGTGGCATTCCCCTTCATAAACACCCACTGTGAATATAACTTAACATTTTTGTTCAGAAATGCTTTAGACTTGAAAAAGAGAGCTTGTCATTCCAAAATTCTGTTAGTCCAATAGAAGAGGTATTACAAGGTACTAATTTAATCTAGTTCACATCTGCATTACTCGACTGATTCGGCTATAATTTCTAGTCTAAAACTATTTATATATAAATTTTAAAAAAGCAGGATCTGTTTACAAACTGAGACCAATGTTTTGTAGTTCCTGGACAGAGAGAGAGAGTTTCCCTTAGCTAAATTTAGTTAATTTTTGCATTTGTTTTGCTTTACCCATTGTTATATAAACAGAGCTGTTGGTATGTGTTTATTTTCCGTACAATATTTTCCTCTGAAACATTAATAAACAAAAATAAAAATTGTCTGCAGTATTTTTGCTCTTGCACTAGTCTGCTCATAATGTTTTTTGCAGACATATAATTCTTTTTTTATACCACGTCTCTTTTCAGAGGTTCACTCAGTTTATTGGATTTTTTGCATTCCACCCAGAGCATTAAGTCATAAACCAGAATACGTGAAAAACATCCCTTTAACAGCTCCTCCTATGTGACTTCAAAGGCTCACACTCCTCCTGCAGGTCACCATTGGTAACCTCAAAGTTTCTGTGGATCATTTAATAATTTCTGCCACTATTTCAGATAGTAGGCTGTTGGTAGAAGCCCCTGTCACCTTAATACAAGATTGGTATATTTAATAGAGTTGGGGAAATAATTATTAATGCTAAATTAGTTTCACATGGATTTTATTCATTTAAATCTGAACACCCAGGTTTGAATTAGCAAATATTATCCAGTACCAAGTAGGGGTATCCGGAAATTCAGAATTATTAATTAATGTGAGAAGTGCCAGGTATTAAAACTGAATCCAAGACACATTTAGAATGTTAGGCCATAAACTGGCTTGGCTAATTCTTCTCATATTTTTGGACAACATTTTTAAATTCACTTTGTGTTCTGGGCAATTGTCACTGTAGTGAAAAACCCTGACTGTTATCAAGATTGATACAGAATTTCAGCAGGATTTGCCTTTAACCCCTTAAGGACACATGACATGTGTGACATGTCATGATTCCCTTTTATTCCAGGGGTTAATAAAGATGTGAATTTTGTGAATCTGAACTACATCAGAACTTAAGTAAATAAACTCTGCGAGGTACTTCAGGAGATATTACAGTAATTTCAACCTAAACATATGATCCATATGGTCATAGGAATGACATTTAAATTGCGCCTGGCAAACATTGTTTTGTTATATTTGTATCCCAATTTAAAACAGGCTTTAAAAAATATTTGGTTTTAACAAGCATAATACTTTTATTTAGTTAAGTTATGTATGTTAGATATCTATACAGAAAGCTCCAAATATTTTGTAAATATGTCCCCATGTGATCATATTGGCGATAGGAGTGTGTTATGTGGGCTGGGGGACTCGTATTTTTTGTCAAACCTCTTCAAAATGGGAGGACTGCATTAGTACCCTCCTTGTGTCCTCACTGATATAATCTGCAGTGGCTATGGTGCTTGAAGTGTCCCTTAAAATATTAAAATAGAGCTGCTATATTATGTTATTTCTGTATATGACACAGGGTTAGCCAAAGGCTAGCTAGTGAGCTGTCATGGAATTCCAACTCCCATAAGGCCTTGGCAATGCTCAAGAAGACGGAATACATAGTGTAGATTGCTTAGAAATTACACTGTGCATGCACAATTGGTTATTTAGTGCCTTGCCTGATGTGCTTAAGGCTGATGACATACTCCACAGTTAGGCCATGTCCAGCATTATAGGTTAAAGGAAACCTATAGTGTTGGTAATACAAATTACTAGCATTATAGTACCCAGGCCGCCGTTTAGGTGACCGGACCAGCGCTACCAGTGTTCATCTTTTTTCCATTGCTGTACTGGTCTCCCACTTAAACCTCCACCTCCTTGACTGAAAACATAATCAAAAGCATTGGGAGGCCAGTGCGCACGTGCCAATCACACGGTCTCTCCGAGACCAACTAACTAAAATAGCAGAGTTCTACTCCATTATTTCATTGAAGCGCCTCTAGTGGAGGTCATATTCACAGCCAATAGAGGCAAGTTAACCACGCAATGTGAACAGAATGGCAAAAATTTTTCAACTGCAGGGTTAAAATGGGGCACATGGCACCCGGACCACTTTATTGAGAAGAAGTGGTCTTGGTGCCTATAGTGTTCCTCTAATACGGTTTTTGTCCCTTTTTTACCAAACAGCATATCGATGGTCTCTTTAAGGGTTAATCTAAATTAACAGTTGATCTTCCACAACAGTTACTTTTTCCTCATTAATATTTTATATTTAATTATAATGTAACGCAAACATGTATACTAAAACCCAGTGAAGCTTCAGAAAATATAATCTACCTCATTCAGCAGCGACAGTGGGTTATTTGATTTGTGTTGTATTTATTAAAACACCTCCAAATGCTGTGATCTTGCCAGCCGCACACGACACAGGACTCCAAGCACACTCACGCCAGAGTTCTAAGCCTATCTTGTTACCATTAAGCTAAGTACATTTGCCTATTTTTAGCATTTGTAAATGCTCGCTGGCTGCACCAATAGCTTTTAATTACATACTGCATCTCCATGCTTTTCTCAGACATGAGGATACTTTGATTAGCAAGGAAAGATAAGCCTGAAATGTATGTAAGAATGTATCCAAAAGTCTCAAATTAAACTACTGTTTAGAATGAAATAATGTCAACGTCTTCTGTATATCATGGAGTATAAATGGTTGTCACTTAGCATTATAATAATAACAAATAATAACCAATAATAATAATTATAATGTGAATTATCAATTATTTATATAAAATACATGGGAATTGAGGAGAATTGACTGCGGAGCTGCACATTTAAGGCCAAAACAGACAAGGTATAAAAATTGTGAAGTTGTGAATTTTTCCATTTTTAATTTTTGACCTTAAATCTATAATTTCTTCTTTTGCATCTGTTTCACAACTCCCTGTTTGGTGATTAATCAAAATACTTAAATAAATGAATAAATCCCTTCCTTTCCTTTGAAAGGGCAGCAACCTCAGTGGGATTTGCACAACAATGTGGCTGCCTGTGGTCCTTTTCTGCATTCTGGCCACCAACGCCGACTGCCGTAATATCACCTTCTTTGAACCTTTATCCCCTGATATGATAAATTACATCAACAAACTAAACACTACGTGGACGGCTGGGCATAACTTCAAAACCTGGACCTGGACCATGTTAAGAGACTTTGTGGAACCGTATTAGGAGGTCCTAAACCACCAACCAGGTATTCATTTGCTGGACAAATGGACTTGCCTGAAAACTTTGACTCTCAGGAAGCTTGGCCAAACTGTCCAACTATCAGGGAAATTCGGGACCAAGGTTCCTGTGGATCACGCTGGACGTTCGGTGCAATGGAGGCAATTTCTGATCGTACTTGTGTTCACTCTAATGGAAAAGTAAACGTGGAGGTTTCTGCTGAAGACCTGCTTTCTTGTTGCGGCTCAAAGTGTGGAATGGGCTGTAATGGAGGATACCCTGGAGCAGCCTGAGATTACTGGGTTGAGAAAGGCCTGTTCTCTGGAGGATGGTATGACTCACATGTGGGTTTCAGGCCATACTCAATCCTACCCTGTGAGCATCGTGTCAATGGCTTCCGTCCGGCTTGCAAAGGGGAGGAGGGTGACACTCCAAAGTGTGTGAAAGAATCTGAATCTGGCAACACTCCCGACTACTCGACCGATAAACACTTTGGAGGAAACTCCTACCATGTCCCAAAAGATCAGCAAGAAATCATGGCAGACATCTACAAGAACAGACCGGTGGAGGCAGACTTTGTGGTTTATTCAGATTTCCCAACCATGTGGCAGGACAAGTACTTGGAGGCCATGCTATTAGGATGTTGAGCTGGGGTGTAGAGAATAATACCTCATACTGGCTGTGTGCAAACTCCTGGAACACAGACTGGGGTGATAATGGCTACTTCAAGATTTTGCGTGGAGAGGACCACTGTGGCATCGAGGCTGACATTGTTGCTGGAGTTCCCAAAAACTAAAACACTGCCTTCCTAGTGTTGGCTGACAGTACACTTGCTGAAAGACACTTATTTTTGTATTTTTGAAAAAAATTTTTTTAGAGAAACAAATTTACGTTTTAATACAAATTTTAAGTAGGATTTTACTCTGCTGCGCACATAGCTATTCCTGTATTTTATATTTTTATGTCCTGAAGATCATGTCAAAGGTCCTCCATCAGAATATGCTAGAAGGAACGAGCCTAACTCTTTACCAAGTCGAAAGATTTGAACTACGAGAACCCAACGTGACCATTTCTCTGCGCTTGTAGTTGCCCGTACTATCCTTCCTTACCAGACAGTGTAACAAATTAAGAGAATCTTCTGTCAAAGATCTAAATGAAGTGTTTTTAGTGATTCGTCTTGATTTTATTTTTTTATAACAATTTAAGGAGGGATTAAGGATTAAATGCTGCTGCAAGGGATGTACTTTTTGTATTTTTGTTTCATTTGTGCTGGTTGTGTTACCTGTTTTTATATGTAAAATATTGCCATAAAATGCCAAGTGGACAATTCAACCAACTGACCTATTCGTCATCATGCTAGGATTCAGGACATAGGATTCGAAGTAAAGTGGTTGCTGGAATTTTACCTTCATCTTTACCAAACCATAAATTTGCCCCAGCTACTGAAGGTTTTGTTTTCATGACTAAAGATGGCATGTAAATGGCTGCCTAACCTTGTAATAATGCATAATGTAATGGGTTATAATATAAACTGAAGGATGTCAGCCATCTGTTCTTTTTTAGGATATTACATTTTTGTTTTAGTTTATTTGACAATAAAAATGATTGATCTTCTAAAAAAAAAAAAAAAAAATAGAAAATTGGGCAGACTAGATGGGCCGAATGGTTCTTATCTGCCGTCACATTCTATGGTTCTATGTTTCTAAATATACTCAAATAAGTAAATTGCATTGTGTAAAGTTCATATGTTTTGCTATTACAAATTATACCTTTATTTACATAGAAAACAGAAACAAACCATTGTGTAAAAAAGTAAAATGCTAAACAAATGACAATTTATATATTGCCAGGTTATTCACTGGATGGGGGAAAAAAGCAAAATTCACATTAAAGTGGAAAAACAGGAAAAATACTCAAAATGCACTTTTGCCTTGACTTGTATGCTCTATTTATTACTTTACTTTCTTTATTTGTTCCCCAAAATATAGCTTTGTTTTCCTGGCACTATAGTTTCCATTTTAATATGAAATATAAAAGGAGTCTGCGGTAGTTAGAGAAATTCTTAAACTCAGCTAACTATAGTCATAGCTTGGCTATTTTACCCTCAATATTGCCATTGCATTTAATTCATTGAAATTTGGAGTTTAGTGACTAACTCTCACTGTTTACCGAATGAACGTAAAAATTGCTATGGTGACCATATGCTCAGTACATCAATTATTAGAGAGAGAGCCCTGTGGTTATGTTTCAAGAGCAATTTTCAGATCAGGTTACTCTGTACTGCACTAAAAGATCATCCATAGAGTGAATTAATGAAATCTGTCTACATGTTACCTCTAAACTTGGCCGATATGTAGTTTTGAAAAGGATAACACTAGGCTTATTAGCTAAAGTATATATTGCTGGCATTTAAGATATAGGCCAGAATAGCCAATTTAGTAAAATAACAAAGCTGTGATTAGACCAGGGTTGGAGAATTTTCTGACGCAGTTGAGTTTGCCTAAATTTTGACATTCAGATTTCAATCTGTCACAGTTTGGTATGTGATTAAATGGGACCTGTCATGCCATTTTTTCTAAAATCATAAACTAATTCCTCAGTAATTTCCATCTAAGCGAAATCAATAGCAAATGTAAAAATTGCCGTTTAAAACAGCGTTATAATCACACTCCTTCCCTCTGCCTACCATCCGTCCCCATGCTGTCCTCTAGCCCTGCTACTTGTTATCGGCAAGAGTTGGCCATGTTCTTAGAACTCCTGGTAAATGACAATATCATCAGTAAATTAATAAATCCTTGGTATGAACTGACAAAACCAGACTCTTACTGATAGCTGGGAGGTGTACCTTTTTAATTTCTTAAGACAGAAAAGTTAAAGCTATGTCATCAATAGATTTTTGCTGTGATAATTCCACTTCTAGAACTTTTTCTATTTTTTTTTTTTTTAGAATGTATTCATTAAACTATAGTGGATTGTAAACTGAACTGCAAAAATAGCTCATTTGGAAAAAAGCCTTCATCTCAACTATAGTCCGGTCACGCCCTGTCTATTTTAGCCTGAATTTTGTAATTCAATTATCAATTCACTACGATCCATTGTCTACAGGCTGATTCACCATAATGTGATTTTTGAGAATTAAAAATGAATTGAAATTTGAAACCATAATAGCTGAAATGAAAATGTAGCTGATTTGGAGATTTCTTTCCCCCCAGTTTTCACAAAAAAATTCTATTCAATTAAAATTTCCAACAATGGACTGTACATTCAGTTTAAACTGCTTGTGAATAAATGCATTTCTCAATGCTTTCCTATGGACGCTGGCGTCTTCTTGTAAATCACAGTGAGAAGTGCGGAAGCGCCTTTAGTGGCTATCAATGAGACAGCCACTAGAGGCTGGATTAACCCATATGTAAACATAGCAGGGTTTTCTCTGAAACTGTTATGTTTACAGCAGGCAGGGTTAATCCTAGAGGGACCTGGCACCCACACCACTTCATAAGTTGATGTGGTCTGGGTGCCTATAGTGGTCCTTTAAGCAATGTGTAATCAGAATGTCATATTTTCTAACACCTACCTTACTGTTCAAATTTAACAAAGCAATTTCTGGGGTTTTTAATTAGCGGTATACCATTAGTATCTTTTATGATTTTAAATACTAAGTCCCAAAATTGAACCATTCTAGGGCAATTCCACCATACGTGGTACAAAGTTCCTTCTAGCTGTAAACACCTCCAAGAAACTATGGAGTTGGAAGGGGAAATCCTGGAAAGTCTCACAGGGACCATGTACCACCTATACATGACTTTCACTTGTGTCTCAATTATGTTAAGACAATGAATGTGTTTTTTGAGTTTTGAGAGTATTAAATCCCACACCCTGTTGCTTAGAGAGATAGCCACGTCTCTTTCCCACTGCTTCACAGCTGAAATGTTCGGTATAGGAGTTTTCACACCTATAAACTCCATTGCCCTAGTAATAGCCAATTTTGGTTTGTGCCATTGAATGTTTTATTCAGTAGGTCAATTATATCCTTATTATCCTTTAATTAATGTTCTCTAAGAAACCCTTTGACTCGAAGGTAATTAAATAATTCTTGTGGGAGAAGGTTAATTTCCTGTTTCAATTTATCAAAAGAAAGAAGCTGGTAGTTATCGCATATTTCACTTCTAGTATAATCGCTTTGTTTGATCCAACTTCTTCGATCAATGTTAGGCATAAGTGTCTCCAATATTCTAATATCAGACCCTTCGTAGATCTTATTATGAATTTTTTAAATATTTCTTTATACCTTGCTATTCTTTCAAGGTTTGTGAAATTATTAATGATTTTTCTAGATCCTTATTAGTGTAGTTTATTTCTATATCATTCCACATTAGATAAGCAAGGTTGTCAGAGCCTACTCTGCATTGTCCAATTTATACCACACCCGATCCTTTGAATCATTGGTTTTTAATTTGTGGACGTGGATAATCATATTTGCCAGATAGATCTTTCTAATTACCGGGTATCCTATCGCTCCCTGACATTATTTCTTTTGTATCTGCGATAATATCAATACCCAGGTGTCGTATAGCCTTCGTAGTCCAGGTTAGGTTAGGGTTAGGGTAGGGATAATGTATGGTAGGGTTAGGGTTAGGGTTCAGGTAGGGTTGGGTTAGGGTAGAGCTAAGGTTAGGGCTAGGTTAGGGTAGGGTTAGGGTAGGATTGGGTTAGGGTTAGGGTAGGGGCAGGGTTAGGGTAGGGTCTATTTAGGGTTTGTCTTACCACCCATCTTGTATTATTACAAGCCTGTCTTGCCATTAGGAAACCTATCTGATGCAAATGAATTACTGAAGGTAAGATCTTTTTAAGTCTTTCTGATAAAATTTAAGCATATATCTTCATATCTATATTAACTAAAGATATTGGGCGATAGCTTGATGCATCCGTCTGTACCTTGTTCTGTTTCAGGATAGGGAGGCCGACCCTATTGCTGCCAGGGCTTTATTATATTGTAACTTACTAATTGCGTGCTGAACCTCGGCCGAGTCAAACTGCTGGTACAGAATCCTTACATTTTCCAAAGATATTGTCGGGATATTAGAATTTTTTTAATAATTAGCCATTTGTAAAGATATTGAGAAGTCCTCCAGATTATAGAGTTTTTCATTAAAATATTGAACACATTACCTATCTCTTCTGGCTTTAAATATGTCTTGCCATCTTTTATTATTTTATACATTTTGTTATCTATTTTTGTTTTTGTTTAACTTGTTAGACTTTTATCTACTCTGTTGTTCCTATAGTAGAATATGTTTTTTAGGCTGCTTAAACTAGTTTCTATTCTTTCCGATATTTTTGTGTTGATCATATCTCGAAAAATCTTGATTTGGTTGTCCCTCTTTAGCAAAACATTTTCCTTGTTAAGTGTGGTAAGACTATATAAAACTGAATGTAAGATCTGACAGATTTAGTCCTTTCTTCTTTTTTTCTTGGCTTGCAATTTAATCCAATAGCCCCTTATTACGGTTTTAAAAGTACTCCAAAGGCATTTAAAAGAAATCTCTTCTGATATATTTTCTTCAAAAAAATATTTAGACATTAAATTGATATACTCTATGTTTTCTTTGGATTTTAACAAGGTATCACTCGGTCTCCATGGTGGTGG